TACCGGATACCTTATTAAGGAGAGAATAAGATACGTTAGGCTAAGACGATAAGCTTTCGAGGTTCCGGAGATTCTTAGAACCGGACCTCTCTCTAAACTAGCCGGAAAACGTCTAGATTTCTAGTACTACTATCCGTAGCTTCCCGCGTATAACGAAGGCGATCCCGTTATCCCTACTCGCGAACGAAACAGAGCCCGCGTAGCCTTCGCCGGAAAGCGCTAAACTATTCTAGGACCTAGAGATAAACGATATATAGAAGAGTATTATCGAGAAAGATACGGTATACTAGACGGTAGTACGAAAAATCCGTAAGGGAGGCAGAACATTATAACCGGAAATTAAAGCAAAAATTTAGATCGGGGATTATATAATAGACCCTAAGGGGTTCCTTCGCTACCGCGGCAAGCTCTAGGTTCTAGAAGCCCTAGCGACGACGGAAACCGAATATAAAGATATAGGGGCCGAGGAACTATAGTAGGATATACTACGTACGAAGATTATCTAGTCGATCTACGACTCGCCGCTCTACGGCTATCCCGGCCGGGATTCTACTGCTTCTATACTAGGTCGCGACTTTTACTAGCCGCTATAGTCGAAGCAGGTACGGCAATTCCTACGGAACTGCAACTATTATAAACGTAATAAGGTATAGAGGGAATACAAACACGGCCTCCTAAAACCCCTACCGGTACCCGACCGTTTCTTCTAGGAAATCTCGATAGACTTTATAACTAACCTACCGGAGTTAGATAGGAACCGGTATCTATAGGTAATTAAAGACCGCCTAAGCAAATAGATCGCCCTTATCGGTACTCCCTCTATAAAAGTAGAGGAATGCGCGGTTTTGTTCCTAAAATACTAGGTTAGGTATTACGGACTTCCTCGTACTATTACTAGCGATAGAGGTACGAATTAGACGAGCACTTTCTAGAGGGAGATATATCGACTGCTCGGCGTAAAGCAGAGGTTAAGCTCCGCCTACTACCTATAAACCGACGGAGGTCCGGAGCGCGCAAACTAGGACGTATAAGCTTACCTATAGAACTATATTAACTAGATACAGTCCGATTGGAACTAATAGCTTCCTACGGTAGAACTAGCGTTTAACGGGAGACACTAAGCGGGGTTAGGAATAAGCTCTTTCTTCGCGACTTACGGTTATAAATCTACCTCCCCCGTTACGTTAGAGGAGGACTCCGCTATCGATAGATAGCTAACCGCGGCGAAACGGGTAGAGGAGTTCGTAAATAAGATTAAGCAGATCTTAGATCTGTACTAAGTATAGATAGCGGAAGCCGTATAGAAATAAGAGGATATCGCGAACAAGACTAGAACTCTAGCGCTAGTATATCGTATCGGAGACAAGGTCTAGCTCGACCTAAGGAATTACTAGACCGGCAGACTAAAGAAGAGCCTCGACTCGAAGCACGCTAAGTATACGGTAGAAGAGGTATTATCGCCTGTCTTAGTACAACTCTCGGGAATACCTAGCAATATTTACCCGGTATTCTATACCGACCTTCTAAGACTTGCGAGCTAGGACCCCCTTCTAGGGTAGGTAACCGACGACGAATAGCCGGACCCTATCTTAATCGAGACGTATAAAGAGTAGTAGGTCGAAGAAATCCTATATGCCCGAAAAAAGAAGTAAGGCCGCGGGCGAGAAGCACTCGTAAAATAGAGCGGATACTATAAACCTACGTAGGAACCCCTAGACTATATCGCGGATACCTCCGCGCTAGACGACTTCGAAGCGAAATATAGACAAATCGAGGAGAACGACGGGCCTCTAGGAGATTAGGAGAAGAGAGGAAAACGGAAGAAATAACGCGGCAACCTAGAGTTTTTCCGCGGAATAACGGGTTTATAGATTCTAGGGACTTTTGCTAACTTCTAGAGTTTAGATTTTCTTACTAACTTATTAGACTTAGAATTACTAGAACACTAGAGAAGGGAAACATAATTTAGAGCTAGGAAGAATTTTATTTAGGTATTTATAAGTAAGTATCGGGTCTCCGCCCGAAATTAGAAGGTTACCTTAGGACTATAAAAAAAAAATAATAATAATATATCCGAAGCTACCTAGAAACCCCTAGAAAACCCCCGGAAACCTTTACTCCTCTAGCGGACCTAGACGATTATTGCCGAGATAGAGGGCGGTCGGAACGCTACTAAAAAAGAGAGGTTAGCGAGAGAAAGTCGAAGGGTAGCGAGGAACTTACGTCTAAGTCTATTAAGCTACGATATTAGCGACGGTGTTCGTTACCTCCGAGGCGATAGCGCTAAAACAAACGGTTAGCGAGGGTTTTATCGCGAGGAATAGAGAATCTTACTTAGACAACAACCCCTACGGCTAGAGAGACTTAAGGGCTTTCTAGGCCTTAAGAACCTTAAGAAGCTCGGAGTGCTTCTCGGCGACATTAGCGCGGGTCGCGCGGATATAGCTAGCGTAGGCTACGTAGGCTATTTAAGGACTAAATAGTTAGCGAGAGATTTAATACGGGAATCGCGATAACTTATAGTAGGGCGTAGGCAATCCTCTTACGAGCGTAATTAGCGTAAGCCCTCGAGCTAGCGGGCTTAAGAAAGTTAGCGGACCCTACGACGAATCGGACAAGAACCTTATAGATTAGTCGGCGTAGTCTTCGCCGGAGTTGTAGCAACTAATATAGTAGATTCGACGAGCTATCTAGGACAAGTTAATTTTACGAAGGGAACCGAGGAGGAAGGGGAGGGACTTACGGTATTAGTAGTAGTAGTAGTAGTAGTAGAGGTATATATAGAAAAAGAAGAAGAAGAAGAAGAAGAGGGAAATATTAATACTTATAGAAAGCGATACGGAAGTAAAGGTCGCGAAAGTAACGGAAGGCGCGAGTGTAAGTAAGGCGCGTTTTAGGAAGGGGTAAATAGGTAAAAGAGCGCGGTTTAGTAGTCGCGAAGAAAGTTATAGCCCTTAAAGCCTAGGATACGGCAACTCCGACCGGAAAGCAGCGGAAACCCCGATCGCGAAGGAGGAAACTACGAGCGCGTTACTCTAGAGAAGCTTAGATAAGTGCAGATCTAATAGTTAAAGTAATAGCGATAGAAACTACGGGGGGCTTTCTATCCCCGCTAAGGAAGGGGAGGAGGACGGGGATAATATAAAGGGCTACGCCCTAAGTAGAAAGCGCTAGCCTTAGGTATTCGGCCTACGCGACTCTAACCTACTACTTAGCGCTTAGCGCACCGCATAAAACTATTCGGATTCACGTAGATAGACTTAGCTCTTTATCGAACCTATTAAGTCTTATATCTAGTATCTACGTACGCGTTACTTACCCGTAACAATATTAAACGCGTAGTAGAAGCTAATGCGAAGGCCTTCCTTAGTACCGGACTACCTAATCTATCGATAAGGCGTAGGCTATTAAGTCTAGCGGTATAGGACTTTATAGACCTATTTAACGCTGCTATTAACTCTTAGTCTATTAACTCGTTTACTAGCAACTATAGGCGCCTTAAGGAGGGCAAGATTGCCGCTAGCAATAGTAAACTAGCTCGTAACTACTCGGACAACGAGGCGTAGCATAGACTAGCTTAATACGTAGCGGACACTTAGTAGATCTATCGAGAACAGTATATTAAATACTAGACCGACAGAATACGCTATGTTAGCAATATAATAACGTTACCTATTAAGGGTTGCTATGCTAGTATTAAGGCATAGTTAACGACCTATAGAAACGATATCTATAGCTTTGTTAACCGGATAGTGCCCTATTTCTACTATTAGATTAACCGCTATAAGGTAATAGTTAGACTCGAGATTATACGACTAGTAATAGTATTCTTTAACGACCCCTTTTATACTAAAGTTGTTAGCTATATTAGCACCTTCGCTCTACGTAAGGCGGCTAATAGAAGGGCACTTATACGCGCTAAGATTAAGAAGCGGAAGTTAGAAGGTTATTCGCTATTAGTCTGTTTATAGTATTATCGAAGGGTTTATAGGTTAAATTATATATACTAGATGCTAATACTTAAAGAGTCTGTAACCGGCATTCTTACTATTAGTATATTTAAGAAGCACTAGCGGATACTAAGGACTAATTACAATAGCAACGAGACTAGCACTTACCGCACCTTAGAGCTACTAAAGCGGATTAATAAGCGGCTTATACGGTCGACTCGCCGTAAGGCAACTAGACCTAAGCTTATTAAACAAGCCGCTAAGGCTACTAAGGCTATAGACTAGCAAGAAGCGATAAGATAGGCTAAGCCTAGAAGGCCTATTCTACCTCTACTACTACTAGCACTACGGCAACCTTTACGTAAGGATTGTATATATAAAACGGCCTATAAGAGGTGCAAGTGCGTTAAAGACAATATAGACTGCTACGTAGGCTACTATAAGCATAGGCTATGCGATAGAAACCTAGTATCTACTTACTTACCTACGTAGGAAAGACTTCCGCTACCTCTAAGAACTCCGCTAGTACCTATAGCGCTAGTAGGTATCTTAGGCTATACTAATTTAGTATAGCAGGAGCTATACGTTAATGCGAGGGTAGTAGAACCTCATTTGCTAGGCAGATAGTATACCTAGAGCAGTTAAGATTAGCTCTAGGGTCTAATTCTATATCTATTATTTACCTAATTCCTCTTTCCTACGTTATAATTCTACTTAGCAGCTAGCATAGGCATTAGAAGTCTCTATGCGATATTATACTGTGTAGATTACTAACAATGTGGTCTCACCGAGACCGGAGCGGCCCTGGGTCCGTTGATTTATGAATAGCCGGGGCTGATTTACGAATAGTCGCGCCCCTTCTCAACGAGACTGTGTCGCCAAGCATTCGGAAGTCGGAATTGCTGCTCGGCTCTTGCCGACACACCTGCGAATTTGGCGCTGGCCAAACTTCGAGCATCAGCAACACGAAAAGTACACCCAGCGCTCGACACCGCCGACAACTGCACAAACGCTTGCCACGACAACCAACGAAGCAACAGTACCGCAGCCATGGCACATGATTCAGTGTGGTATTCGCGCCCGCGCACCTACGGCAAGGGTGCTAGAGCTTGGTAGGTGGAAGAAGGACTATGATGGACCGAGACCTTGATGGAGGGCATCTTCACGAAATCTCGGTCTTCATTTGGCACGCAGAGTTGAGGGCTGACTGAATTATAGCCGTGTCTGCACCCACAAGGCTGGTCTCATCCGCAAGTATGGCTTGAACATCTGCCGTCAATGCTTCCGTGAGAAGTCCAACGACATCGGCTTCACCAAGGTCAGGAATATGAGGACTGCGATGGCTCCGCAGCGGCTAATGTCTGATAGCACCGGTAAATGCGCTTTCACGACGGGATTGTGGCGATGGCGAGACAAGCATAGGAAGGAAGTCATGGCAATGATATTCCGAGCGACAGCATGCATGTGGATATCAGGCTAGGCGTTCTATCAGGCGGCGGGTGCACGATATGGCAGTCGAGGATATATCGAAGCTTGCTCGAATTCTGCAGCTCAGAATGACACGAAATCACAAATGACCGCGAGCACGCTTCGCCGTCTCGTCCAAATCTCGAGCCCACACATTTCATTACTGGGTCCTGAAAAGCTCTTTTCGGGCTCTTCTCTTAGATGGAAGGACTCGCTCGATCCTGACCTACAGCCTGGCTACGGAGAGTGAGCAGTGCGCGCTCCACGTTGACAAGACTGCTGCCGACTACTCGAACTGTACAATTGTGTCGTGCATCGCAGTGAATTCCCCGAATGCTGGCCAGGTGGTGCAGGCTCCTGAAGGAATGGCAGAATGGACTTTGAGGCTATAGTGTCGCCCACGCTTTGAATAATGCGGCCACAATACGACCCAAGGTGAGCACAATTTCACAAGACGAGAAAGCGAAATATATCAGTACAGCTCAGCCACAGTCATGGATGTTCATCGCTATGATGTCTTCGACCCAACAAGATGTCCCGATTGTTCTGGGCGGACATGTCGCAACAACCAGGGAGCGTGAATTGCCAACAGAGGCCGCGGTCTCAAATTACCAAATGACAGCACATCGCGCTCCGGTACCTAAAGCTTGAGTCTCAAAAAGGTATCTGCAGGGAATGCATTTAAATACATGCACGATTCCCTGTGCCTGGTGTAGGCGTCTGCTACTTGTTTCGCTCGTTGCGACAGGTGGTGATAGCGTGGCTTGCAGCAAGACGTGGAGTGATTCACAGCATTTTATTGAGTGATCGGCCAGGCAAATTCGAGCACTCGAGCAGTTCCCAAAAGTACTTGCAGATTGACTGGACGCGAGCACCCATCGCATAATACCATGTTCCTTGCAGCAAGGGTTAGGGTCGTAAGCCACCACTTTTGCGACGCGCGAACAGAGCAGCAGGTTCGGCAGCACTACTCCGCCGTATGCACAGGCAGCTGTGCAGCAGAAGGTGAGGAGCGATGGTAGTCTTGGAGTGGTGATAATCAATTGGGTATATAGCGGCTCAAAGTGGTGCATGCGCTCGTCAATTTCGCTGCGCTGCATACTGGTCGTCACTGCAGATCGGCCTCATTTCTTCCCGAGTCAGCATTTGCCATTTGTCTCGTCAGCACTGCTCTCGTCGCACGCGCTGGCCGAAGGGCAAGGCGCAAGCTCGATGCCAGACAGTCATCAATTGCGCCCACGCGTGCCGGACATCATCGTCACGGCCAGACTGCACGACAGCACGGGCAGAGTTGTTGTCGTCGAAGCAAGCAAGCAAGCAAGCAACAAACTCTGGTGTCGACGGGAGCCCCAAAGAAATTAGAGTCAACACTGAGGAGGCTAGCGCGCATTGGCACGGACTCGCCGCTTCCTCTGGCAGAAGCAGAGGCAGGGTTGGCTCTTTCACCAACCTCCGAACGACACGGCACTGGGAGCACTGCTGTCGTCGACTCCAACACACATCACCACCGCTGCCACGCTGCTGCTGCCCTCGACGTGACGCGCTCCGCCCCGCCCCGCCGCCGTTTGCCAGTCCGCTCGTTCCCTCTCCAGTCGCACGCACGCCTCGCACTTTCCCGTTTGCGGCGCGGTGCCCGCCCAGCCGCCAGCAAGCTTCGCCCTGGTTCCCCAATTGCAGCACGACCACTCCTTGCGCTGTCCGCCTCTTCTCTGCCACACAACACACACCTGGCTGCCGAGCTGAAACCCATCGCGAGCGTCGTCGCTCTCAGACGACATGGCGGACGCGAGCGCTGAGTCCATTCAGCAGAAGATCCAAATAGCGCGGAGGGACGCGGAGGCGCTCAAGGACCGGATAAAGCGCAAGAAGGATGAGCTCGCAGACACCACACGTGAGTCCAATGCCTCCTGATTCCGCTCTACCATGTATGTATGTGGCTACTAACACACCTCCTGACAGTGCGCGATGTTGCGCGGCAACGCACCGAACAGCTCCCACGACTGGCCATGAAGACCAAGCGCACCCTCAAAGGTCACTTGGCCAAGATTTACGCGATGCACTGGTCGACCGATCGAAGACATCTCGTGTCCGCTTCGCAGGACGGCAAGCTCATCATTTGGGATGCCTACACTACCAATAAGGTGCACGCCATTCCCTTGCGATCATCGTGGGTCATGACTTGCGCATATTCTCCTAGCGGCAACTACGTCGCATGCGGTGGCTTGGACAACATTTGCTCCATCTATAATCTATCAGCCAGAGAAGGCCCCACCCGGGTGGCTCGTGAGCTCAGCGGTCACTCTGGCTATCTCTCGTGCTGTCGCTTCATTAATGACCGGCGCATCCTGACATCGTCTGGAGACATGACTTGTGTGCTCTGGGACATTGAGACCGGTCAGAAGATTACAGAATTTGCAGACCACTTGGGAGACGTCATGAGTCTGAGCATAAATCCGCTGGATAACAACCAGTTTGTGTCTGGCGCTTGTGATGCATTCGCTAAGCTTTGGGACATTCGACAACAGAAGTGCACCCAGACTTTCGCCGCCCACGACTCTGATATCAATGCGATCCAGTTCTTCCCCAACGGCAATGCGTTCGGCACTGGTTCTGACGATGCGTCCTGCCGTCTATTTGATATCCGCGCAGACCGCGAACTCCAGGCATATACAGTATGTCCTAACACAAACCAGCGTCGCTGGTAACAATTGCTAACTTTCGCAGATCGGAGAACCTGTCTGTGGTATCACATCCGTCGCCTTCTCGGTGTCAGGAAGGTTGCTCTTTGCTGGTTACGATGATTTTGAATGCAAGGTTCGTACAGTGCATCTGATCGTGTGACGCACGACCGTTTCTGACACTCTCCCTAGGTCTGGGACGTACTCCGGGGCGAGAGAGTTGGCACTCTGCAAGGCCATGACAATCGTGTCAGTTGTCTGGGCGTCAGTAACGATGCCATGTCATTATGCACAGGCTCTTGGGATTCAATGGTACGTGTCATCGTTTCCACCATGGTTTTGGATCACAATCGCTGACGACTTTGTTTAGCTTCGCGTTTGGGCATGATCCACATTATTGTCGCAGCGTGCATGTCCAGCAGAAGACAGGCCCTGAGCGACGCCGTCTCCAACCTTTCCAACACTGCTCCGCTGTCTGTCTGGACTCTCCCTTCACGAACGGGCCGCACACCGCAATGACCAACCTCGATGTCGAGAGCAGACGGCGCTTCTGTATGATGCGAAATGCGAGTTCAGCCACAAGTACTGAGCCGTGCAAACGACATTTCCATCATTGGTGCAACGTATTCAGAAAATCGGCGCACGAAATGACGAACTTCCTACTACAATGCCCGGCAGGGCAACATCTTTCTTCAAATCAGTCAGCTTGCGTATGGTACTGCGGACGGGCAGAGCACGGGGGCTCTGAGCCCAGACGTAGTTCTTGGGGTCTTGTATCAGGCGGCAGGATCTTCTTTTGTATCAGCTGGCAGCATGTCCCGGTGTTTCTAGTAGCTGTAAGGGACAACTCCAAGCAAAAAGGATTCAAAAGCTGGGCTCTTTTCACGGCATCTAAGCGTCTTGTATTATTCTCGTTACCTAGAGACCCCAAAGTGTTGGACGGGAGGAAGGGAATTGGCACTATCATAACACCCACGATCATCCTGTCTCTCCGTCCTTGTCCGACGCTGCGTGCTTGGTTTAATATCCCGACCACGCGGTAAATTTGCCCCTGACGGTGTTGGTTGATGCACGCATCTGCATCCGCCGTCACAAACTCATTTCTGCTGCCGGGCATGTTGTGATGAACAGTGGTGGCGAGTTGTGCAATCTTTATGAAATGCGTGATCTGAGATGTCGAACGTTCAACGGCAGTTTTCGGCAGTACAGTATACGTAGATTGAAGTGCCAAATGACAGGCGTCTCCATACTATTCCGCAGCTCTATAAGGGCTAGTAAGGTTTCGCTCGAGACCTCACATGCTTGGATGGCCTGCCAAGTTGCCAACACGGTAACGCCTGAGTCGCACCATTGATGAGCCTTTCCGCTATTGGCGAGGCAGCGGTGTGCCGACGTCGAGGATTGGGGGATCACTGTGTTTAGGCTTGGGGAGAGCATGTCCGTATCTCGATCCCAGCACCGGAGCCCGCACGTTGTACACCCGAACTGAACCAAGAGAAGACCTGCCCTGCACCTGCCGTCGAAGTCAAAACCCACGATAAGGCTGTTCGCTTCGAATCACAAGGTCGCTCGATTTCAGCGGCAGTGCAAGCACTTGCCATAGCAGGAAACATGTCGGCCGCCCGAGATGAATTCACTGGATTGATGAGGGACAAGGAGAGGAGATCGACGCACCCGGAAGACGACCATGCCGATGATGCGCAGTCATTCCTCAATCTATCTGACGATGACGACGATGCGACACCGCCTGCTTCGCGTGTCGACCCTCCGCGCCCGTCGATGAGCAGCGTGAGGAGCACGATACCATCCACACGCTATGGCGCCAATACCGGACCAAAGGGCGTCATCTCGGATGCCCAGGACTACCGCGACTCGCAGCGCTCGCAGCGGATATCTATGCGCAGCACGACCAGCTTGACGGCGCAGACCTCGTTGATGACTGTTAAGGGCAATCACCCCATTGAAAAGCTTGATGAAGAAGATGAGCTCGAGAACGGCGAAGAAGACGACAACGCCTTTATGAAGAAGTGGAGGCAAAGCCGGCTGAAGGAGCTGCAGAGCGGCGTGAGAGACAGCACTATCCACAAAAACAACCGGAACAGAAGGCTATACGGAGCCCTGACAATGGTCGATCCCGATGCATACCTAGACGCTGTGGAGAACTCTCCGCCGGATACGGTAGTATTCGTGTACATCTACGACGACGACGTAAGTGACTGCTGGCGCCACTCGCAAGATACGTGCTGACACTCGGCAGTCTCAAGTCAGCGATCTTTTCGAGAACTGCATTCGGACGCTGGCTGGCAAACATCAAGACACTCGTTTCATCAGACTGCACTTCGCAGATGCACAAATGGAGCCGGCCGGTGTGCCGGCCGTCATTGCCTATCGGGGCGGCGAAAAGTTCGCAGGCCTTGTGCCACTGATTAACGAGCTGCCTGATGATGCTGAACTCAGCGCGAACACGCTAGAGGCGGTTCTGAAGCGGTATGTGGTCACATCTCTGGTCAGTTTTAGATACTTGCTCATTTCTTTCGCAGGCATCAAATCCTTCGCTGAATGGGCGAGCCACGATGGTCGTCTGTCAGTCAATATGTTGTCGTGTCCCTGCATTGGTGTTCCTTTAGCCCTGACCCACCGCTTGTCGCGCCTGGCATCCTGCACTGCTCAGTCGGGTCTGTGTGAACAACCTACTTTCGAGTCTTCGACATGCACTCTCCTGCATCCATCTTCATCGCGCATGCCATGGCACCTCAAGGCTCATACCGGGAAGAACACGTCGATACTGCTGGTATATTACATGACAGCTCACATGCGCCCAATCGGCAGAGCTGCTGATTGCTACTTATGATCACCAACACAGGGCTGCGTTCGAGAGCGCCCTCAGTGCAGTACTAGGTAGCGAGGGCACGCTCCGAGCTTCTCGCGCCGGCGGTCGCCTGATGTTGGTTCTGTTGCCAGGTGCATTTCCTGAGGCTTGCAAGCAGGTTACAAGGATCATGACACGGTTTGGGAAGCTTGGAAGTCCGAGAACAACAAGGCTGAGACCGCTGGGGAAGGAAGTCTCTAATCCGTCAAATGAGACTCCAGCGGAGTCCTGGCCCCGACTTGGCTGTCGAGCTGAGTGGCTGCTCAATATGTTCTGGCCTTGGCTGATTTCTGTAGAAAAGCAAGATAGCAGAATGGCTGTCGCCATGGAGTACCACAGCCACTGCAGCTAATGATAGTACCTCTCCCTCAGCATACGTGCGCCTTGGTCATTTTTTCGTACTCGTGCTTATGTTCTTCGAATACGAGATGTAGGTGGCGATGACTGTCAATCACATGCAAGTTCAAGCTTCGCTCCTGTCAATTGTCCAAAACACGCCAGCAAGCAAGAAATGCCGGGAAGATGTTCTGACCGTCTTTCAACAAGCAAAATTGGTCCCTCAATCAACGGTGAATGACAGAAGTGGTACATGGAACACCAAGTTACACAGTGCCCGCCAAATCTTGGCATCTGGGCTGGCCAACTTCGGCTTTCAACAGCCCTGCCTGGCGATGCCAACACAATCATCACTCGGCATCGAATTGGGCTAATGTCAGTATCTTGAGCAGTCGCCTGATTCAGTCTACTTATCCACACGCCGCGACGGCGACTGAGCGCTCATCATGTCTTTTCTCTTCGATAAAATCAAAGAATCCGTCAAGGACGTTGAGACCAGAATCAAAACAGCCACGGACAAGCCAACACACTCTCACACTCACAAGACCGAGGAGTGCTCCGATGGAGACAGCCATCATCTTCATCGCTTCCAATCGTTCGCCCCACAGAGAGAAGGCAACGAGGTGAAGTGGTATGTTGATGGCTGCAGCTACATGTGGGCCGTTTCGCTCGCATTGGAACATGCCCAGCACTCCATCTGGATCCTTGATTGGTGGCTCAGTCCAGAATTGTATCTGAGAAGGCCTCCGGCGAAGCATGAGCAGTATCGACTTGACAAGCTTTTATTTGCGGCTGCCAATCGAGGCGTTCAAGTCAACATCATTGTGTACAAGGAAGTGACGCAGGCTCTAACACTGTCGTCAAGTCATACGAAACATTGGCTGGAGGATCATGATTCGACTGGCAACATCAAGGTGAGAAACGCGTTGTTGATACGCCCATTTTACTGTAGACAGCATAGGCGCCTTTTAAGATTGGCTGACACAAATCCAGGTCTTCCGTCATCCAGACCATTTACCTGACAAACAGACTCTAGCTTCGAGTTTTATCTCAAGCATAAAGCAATCAGGACTGAGTGCCAGCAAGCTCGCTCAGCTTCCAGGAGATGCTCTTAGGGGAATCTACGGCATGAGCGAGGACTCGATCCTATACTGGGCCCACCAGTGAGTCCTTCTAGCTCAGCGTCAGATGCGACCGTATCTGGCTTTTCTCAAAAGATGAATGCTTATACTGACGTCAAATAGTGAGAAGCTGTGCCTCATAGATGGCCATGTAGCGTTCATGGGTGGCCTAGATCTCTGCTACGGTCGATGGGATACCAATCAACACTCTATTGCCGATGCCCACCCGACTGATCTAAACCGTATCGTCTTTCCAGGTCAAGACTACAATAATGCTCGAATCATGGATTTCTCCGATGTGCAGCACTGGGAGAACAACAAACTGGACCGGAAGTACAACAGCAGGATGGGATGGTCAGATGTCGCTCTATGTGCCAAGGGCCCCGTCGTTGAGGATCTCAAGGCCCACTTTGTGCAAAGAGTAAGCTCAATCATTTTACAGATTATCACATTCACTGATCACGCCGAAAGTGGAACTTCATTTACTTTGAAAAGTACGATGTGCGTAAACAAGCACGATACCAACCCCTCGTATACCATGCTGCACGCGCAGGTATCATTGGTCACCCTTACGAGGAGGACGCAGATGGCGAGCCTCGCGGCGAAGGCCAGTATCACGGCTTCCGTCAACGCATGAGAGAGCAATACGAAAGCGGCCGAGCACGATTAGAAGAGGGTCGCGATCGCCTGATTTACGGTTCAGCAGACTATCCTAGCGGCCCACTTGGAGGGACACAATGTCAGATCGCTCGCTCATGCGCGAAATGGAGCCACGGAGTAGCTCTGGAGCATTCCATTGCAAATGCTTCCATTGAAACGATCAAGAACTCTCAGCATTTTGTCTACATGGAGAACCAATTCTTCATCACAGCCACCGGCGATAAGCAGAAACCGGTCAAGAATCTGGTTGGCGCTGCAATCGTGGAACGCTGTCTTCGCGCGGCCGGGAACAACGAGGATTGGCACATGATCATCAATATACCCAGTGTGCCTGCCTTCGCTGGAGACCTCAAGGACGACGCTGCTCTGGGAACCAGAGCTATCATGGAATTTCAATATTTCAGTATTTGCAGAGGAGGTCACAGTATCATGGAAGAGATCGCAAGGGCAGGCGTGGATCCGATGCAATACATCAGATTCTATAATCTCAGAAGCTACGACCGGATCAACACTAGCGCGGCTATGTCAAAGGTCGAGCAACAAGCTGGAGTCTCGTACGACCAGGCCCGTATGGGTTATGACCAACAGTACGCGCACACGCTCGACTCACAGCAATACAATCAAGAGTATTCGAACCCTCAGGATAATTCAAATGCATACGATCGATATCAGCAAGCCGCTGATCAAGTCTACGGGGATTCGAACAATCAGCTTGCCACTGGTCGCTGGGACAGTGTTGCAGAATGCTATATGCTCAACGGACCCGATCTCGGGTCAATACCATGGGAGGGTGAGCCCGAGGCAGAGATGGACGCATATGTGTCAGAGGAGCTCTACATTCACAGCAAGCTCCTCATTGCAGATGATAGGATAGTCATCTGCGGAAGTGCCAACATGAACGACCGGTCACAGCTAGGAGACCACGACTCGGAAATCGCCATGATTATTGAAGATCCGCAGCAGATTGACTCCTACATGGCTGGCCGACCGTGGAAGGCATCGCTATTCGCTGCTAGTCTCCGGCGCCAGATCTTCCGGAAACACTTGGGCTTGCTTGCTCCTCAAGACATCGAGCGACCGGACGCCAACTACTTCCCAGTCGGACATGCAAATATCTATGATTGGGGCAGTCGTGAAGATCTTGCAGTAGCTGATCCCATGTCAGAATCATTCATGAATCTGTGGAAGCACACTGCTGCAACCAATACCAACGTGTTCCGCAAGATCTTCCATCCTGTTCCCGATGACACGGTCAAGAATTGGAGCGAGTACGATGACTTCTATGAGCGTTACTTCAAAGCCGAGGATAAAGCAAAGGGAGGGAAAGGCAACAATGCTGAAACTCCAGATCAGAAGCCAGGGTTTTGGAAGTGGGGACATGTCGTGAAGGAGGAGTTTAGTCCAGGTGCGCAAGGAGTCTTGGAGATGAAGGATTTGCTTTCCACAGTCAAGGGCAATCTGGTCGAGATGCCATTGCTCTTTTTGAAGGACGAGGATATCGCCAAGGAAGGCTTGGGCCTCAATGCGCTTACTGAGGAGGTGTATACATGAGCATCCGGTGACAGGACGGTTACGATCAACGAGAAATACGCACATGAGATGTCACGCACACTATCGATTGCAGAAACAGCGACGTTCTTGTCTCTGAAATCAGCAAGTCATCATTATATGGCACGTTTGAAGCTCGATGAAAGGTGCGCCTTCTAAACCATCATCACATCGTACACGCCGGAGGAAGTGATTGTGTCAAAAGACGCCGGAGTCACCCTCACAATGAATATGTGAATGAGCATGTGCAACCGTTCAACTTACCTCTTTCTTCGTGTGGAAGCGGTCTATCAGCTGGTACGCGGTCGTATCCCACAGATCTCGATAAAGATCGCGTTCTGGGCCAGGACATTGAGACCATCGTTTCTCTGGTGCAGGGCAACTTGGCCCAGAGAACCGCGAGAGACGTGGTGGCAGATTAATTCCTGTGCCGTGCCAGCGAGCCCTTCCGTATTTTATTATTTCATGTCATAGCCCAAGACGAGGATGTACAGCTGAGATAGTCGTCGTGTCGGAGACGGCAGTACCAGTGCCGTCTACACACCCTCGCACGGAGCGAGCATTAGGTATCTTCTGCCCATTGCTCCTAAGCATCAGCAGTAAAAGTTCGAGATATGAGCAGCGTTTGACCATGGGACGGACTCGCTCGTCCCGAAGTGCATTCTCAAGCAATGACTCTATGGGCTCCTACTGTGTATCGAAGATTTCAAAGTCGCTACTCACACACTTTCTACCTTAACGCCTCGGTATCCTGTCTATAAGTCTTCCTTGACCACATTTCACAAACCCGTATCAAAAATCCACGCCCGTTGTGCATTGGGCGGATGCTCGTTCGGAGTACAAAACTGGAAAGAAGTGGTTCAAGCTTACTCTCGTGAGACGTCACGACCGAAGATGTATGATTTCAGCCAGTCCATAATGACAAGGACGCGGTTGCGCGCTGGAGAATGGTCAGCTTTTGAACGAAAATGACAAACTCGAGGGCCGAATGGTGGACTTACTGCTGAAGCACATGCTCAAGTAGGCACTTCGCCAGAACAGATACGTGAGCTGACCACCAGAAGCCAAGTTTCCGGTCAGCCAGGAGATATCAGCGACAGCCTTCTCGCTGCCAATGTAGGCAAGCGAGCCCTGGTGCGAGTATTCGAATGGTCCCATCTGCTTGACACGACGCAGGCGCTTTTGCAGGTCCTTAATCTCGCCAAAGATCTTATCGCGAGCTTCCTGATTGGGCGCTTTGCCTTGCTCTTCGGAAAGCGCGGAGAGCTTGCCTTCAATCTCCTCAGTCTTAGCCATCTGGTTGAAGAGGCGAGCGAGGAAGGCACCCTCCTGCGAGGCGACTTGTGCGGTTGGCGCATAGTTGGCTACAGCGCAATCACCCACGGCCCAGACGTTGTCGGTGCCCTTCACCACGAGATACTCGTTCACAGCGAGACCACGTCGGGAATCCTTCTGAGCCGGAATCTGATTGATGAGGTCCTTAACAAGGGGGCGAACAGCGTTGCCAGTGGCCCAAACAAGCAGTCCGTACGGGATCTTTTCCAGCTGCTTCCTGCCACTTGAGTCGGTGAACTCGGCTTCGATATATGTTGGCGTGACGTTCTTGACCATGGTCTTGGTTCGGATCTCGATAGTCTCCTCCTTGAAGGTCTTCTCAGTGTAATCGATCAAAGACTTGGAGAACATGGGCAGCACAGATGGAAGAGCTTCAACAAGGGTGACATGGAAGTTGTCCTGGATCTCTGGGATCCATTTCTTGAGATCCTGCTCGAAGAAGTCCTGAAGCTCACCAGCGAATTCGACACCGGTTGGACCACCACCAACAACAACCATGTGCAGCAGACGCTTGCGCTCCTCCGGTGACTGATCCTTGAATGTAGCAGTCTCACAGCAGTCCATAATTCGCTTTCTGATCTTTTGAGCGTCACCGACCTCTTTCAAGAAACAGCTGTTCTCGCGGACACCTGGGATGCCGAAGGTTGCATTCTCAGCGCCCACTCCAACAACCAGCATATCGAATGGAACCTCATTAGATGAAACAGTGCCTTTGATTTCGGAGTCATCGCTGATGTATACGACGCGCTTCTCGTAGTCGATCTTGGTGGCTTCAGCTTCGTAGTATTTGACAGAGGTGTGCTTGTGGCGGAGGAAATTGCGAATTGGTTCCATGATGGACCGGTGCTCGATGGTACCCGTCGTACATGATGGCAGGAGAGGTGTGAACAAGAAATAGTTGCGTGGCGAAATGACGACGACGTTGTAGTTTTGGGTATCGAGCTTCTTCAAGAGTGAGACAGAGCCCCAACCAGTTCCTAACATCAGTCAATAAATAGCCATTGAACATCATGTGGATGCTCAAAGTATAGCATGGCTTGAAGGAGCATACCAAGCACCACGAGAGTCTTCTTATTTGGGTCTGGCGGGTGTTGTTCCTCGGGGTAACGATCTTGATAGATGTTGTATCCCGTGTATATCAGGCCTCCGATGAGCAACACATAGGTGATGCGCCACGTCCATCTGAAGAAGCCAGCGCGCTTTTTCTTCACCTGCGGCTTGCCGGGAAGCTGGTCGGCATAGCCTCTTCGCAGTTGTTGTCGGTCGAGTCGAACGGCTTGCTGTTGCGGATTCTTGGCCGCACGGATGGCATTGGATGGCGCATGCTGGAAAGGAGATGATCGCTGGACGGTCGAGAAGCTGCGCAGCACTCCCTGCTTGAGCCCGATTGACGCGCTTACCTGCGCCAGAGGCCTCGCTGCGGCCGGGGATGCCATTGCGGCGTTGCGATGGAGTGGTCGCTGAAAAAGAGGTCGGCGATGAGGCAGAACAGCGCAGCTCTGGAGAAAAGATGGACAAGGGTTCGCTCTAGCTATGACGACTGACGCGCTGCTCCGAACCACCCGCGCAGACAATAATATTTTTTCCGTGGAAAGAATCTCATGGTCGCACCGAGCGATGCTCACACTATGCAGCAGACATCCCACGCTTCCGAGCTTCCAAGATGAGGCTGGCACAAGAACACGTCTGATTGTCTCTCGTGCCGTTCCTGAGCACGCGACATCTCGAATTACTTCATTGCGAGCTCACTAAACTGTACAGTAGTCATCACAGACAAGAGCAGACGCTTCGTCACGCTTCGTGCCACACTTCGGCCTCGAGTTCTCCTGGCCGGCCCTTTCTGATATGCAGGTACACTAAGAAAGCAGCCCTTCCAATTCGCCACCACCCATGTAAATGCGCAAAGCCTTCCCGACACACGCCGTACTAAAACCACAAAGCAAAAGCTTCGAGACAAACGCTCGCTATAAGGGGTATCGTAGCTTCAATTCATTCGTACACGTTGCTAACAAGCTTTCTGCTTGTCCTGGTCGCAGTGTCACCGAACGAGCATCGAGAGCATCAGCGCGGCTGCCACGATTGCTGTCAGTGGGGATGATGGAAGTGCTGCGCTGTTGCTTGGTGTATCAAAAGGACTGCCTCCACCGCTCTGTCCGTTATCGGTTTGTGAGCTGCCCGAAGCTGAGCTTGTGCTCGAGACACTGCCGGAAGTCGGAGTGCTTGAAGTATCGAGTAATAGGCCAGTGCTGGAGGACGCAGCCGGTGCGGTGGTCACACTGCTGACAGTCTCGGTTTCGCTGGCTGCTGTTGATGTCGCAGACGGCTTGGTCGATTTCGGCGTACTTGATGTGGAGCTCGGAGTGCTCAACGCAGAGCTGGCACCGGGCCTGGTGCTTGGTGTCGACGTGCTGCTATCTGTATCCGAATTTGAAGAGCTTCCACCTCCTAATATTGCAGCAGCATTCGGGCACAGACTGCTGGGTCCGGAGCCTGCCAGGTAGGCCACAATGATATTCTGCCCTGTGATATCTTCATTCTCGCAGGCACTTTTGACATCGGCTGCAATCTCCTGCAGACCCTCCACACAAGCTTCGCTGCATCCGTCCTTCTCCCAATCTGTGCTGGAGCAGCCGTGGACGGTTTGAGTATACACAGCTTCGCACCGGGTTGGAAGATTCGACACTCGAGGTGTGAAGTCGGAAAGGCTGACAGCCAAGGTCGTCGCTGGAAGTGCAAGAAGCGCCACCTTTGACCAGAAAGAAGGCATGGCTGTTGGGATTTGGTCACAGTGGAAAGGAGACCGTCAAGTTGGGCGCATACGCCAAAGTTAGGCAGGAGCTTCGTGAAGATTGCGGTGCAAGATGATCTAAGCGGGTGAGCTGGCTGTACTGTTGGCAGACCTCCGCAAGCTCACTTGAGCTGTGGATTTGCGATACAATGTTGCACGACAGACGCAACGCAATTGCGCGTGCTTGTCTTCTATGCGGCACCGGCCTCGCGTTGCCGGCTTGTTTCAAGATTCGTGTTTGCGCGCAACGAGCAAGGTGGTAAGCGCTCCACTGCAGGACCAGAAGGATTGAATGCCCACTGCGAGCTCCAGGCCGCAAGGGCGTGTTGGTATGTCGTCTGAAGGGAATGCCGGCGTGGAGAGAGAGCGTTTTGCCGGCGAGATGCGGAGGCCAGCAAGGAAGGCAAGGACGGCGGCTGCGCTGCGCTGCGCTCAGTCAATGGCCCCCGAAGTATAAAGAGATGACGGCAGGAGTCGCGATCACTAGCGGAGCGTTGTTGTTATCGAAAATAGCGGCGTGGTGTTAACGGCTGAGGAGAAGGGACTGTGACTGTGGACATGAGTGCGCCTTCATCGCCTCGCCCTTACTTCTGTATCTTGTCGACGGGTGGAAGTGATTAGACTCTGAGAGAGAGATGCAACAGGCGCCTCCTGCTATTCTGTGCCGATCAACAAATCAAACGCGCTCATGATGCTCGTGGAATCTGCGGCAACCCAGCATTCTGAAACGTCCCTCGAGGGAGGAAGAGCGAATCGAGTCGCGCGGCAGGCGGCAGACGGCAGACGGCAGACGGCAGACGGCACGGAGCGAAAATAGCCGACCTCCCCTTTCGGCATCATTCCTCTCGACCTTCGTTGAATAATGGACAAGTCTAGTAGACTCGACTTCGTCTGCCATCTCACGTTCAGGCCAGGACGCTTCACGTTGCTAGTAGTGAATGGCTTTGGGGACAGCGTTCAGGCTTCGCGGCGTCGAACTACCACCCACGACTTCCTCCAGCCACGAGCGATGTGCGACATTTCTGGCGTTTCAGCTTCTGTCGCAGCTTCTATCGCACTCTACGAGGCCGCAGCATCACGTGCCGCTTGCCTGAACGCCATCTCGTAGGCATGCCGAGGACGCATGTTACGCTTGAAGAGCATGCTAAATCGAGCAGGTGCTGGCGAGGGAGTTGCTGAACAGTCCTTCGACACAGTCAATCCACTTCGTGATTGTGGCTGCGGTTGCTTGTCCGGATCTCTTGCAGCGATATCTGGCGAGCGTCAGACCATTTCATTTGGAAAATTGCTTTGTGCATTCTTGCAGAGGCCAAGTCTTTTCAACCACTGATCAACTTAATGCTTCGAGTGTGGGAGTTTACTGTATCAGTACAGCTTTCGTGCACATGGACAGTCCAGAACAAGCCAAATTTGTATTTTGCAGAGCACGCCACGGACTTACTGTGACTTGATCGGTCTTCCAGCGCAATCACTTGGCAATATTCCATTTGACTCTCATTGAAAGATTCGATTGTATCTCACGAATGACCAGAGAATCACTTGAAGAATTGAAGCGTGGTCACACTGGAAAGGTGGCTTGAATGCTCTTGGTGGACGTCACTGCCCAGTGGCGTACCCCTGCGGAAGCATGGAATATTTGCCTTGAGCCAAAGACGAGAGATTTCCGCACACAGGCCCAGTGTTCCATGACTCAAGGTATTGACGTGGTCATCTATACTTCCGGGGGACACGAATTTCGATGGCCTGCCTAGCTGAAGTGGTAAGCTGTTAAATGTGTATGTCTCCACCGTCAAGAGAAAGTTTCTGGCGATAAAGCTAATTTTCACACTTCACTGGTCGCTTGAAAGGACATGATCATCAACGTCCGTCCCATAGGATCCACGAAGTTTGGCACCAGGAGTAGACTTAAGCTGCAGCTCGGTAACATAAATTCTTGACCGCTTCGGGGACCCAAGGCGAGGCGTTCCCAAATCCACGCCGCGAGTGGTGGGGACGCAGCTTGTCGAAAATGGTCGTCACTTCCAAGGACCAAGAGCTCTCGGGTTGAAGCATAATACGGCCAGAACAAGGCTTTCGCGCATTAACGCTCTTCCTTGATGTATTTTTGCACACTATCTTGCCCTTCTCGAGCATCGGCTATCCCAGCCGTTTGCATCCGAACCATGTCTCATCGTCCTTCCTCAAGTAGTAGAAGTACAGTGTCATAAAGTGTATCCATCCATGCCTTCGTCTCAATGCCGAACCTTTCCAGCTCGCTTTGAACGCCATCAATATGCCTGAAATACAATTGCCACCAGGCGGCTTCAACTGTTGGAAGCCCGGGGCTGGTAACGCCATGTGATGCAGGCGCTTGAACGCAAGAAAGCAAAAAAGCAATTGCAAGTATGTACAATGAACAGACGCCATCAATTCGGCGCAGACCCTGCCATTGTGCAGAGTTGAAGATGGGGAAACCCTCTCAGCCGCATGCGCGCTCGTCCTGCAAACAGCTACTGTTGTGGAACCAGAGCTTGCTGCTGCTGTGGTTGCTGCTGCTGCGGGAAATTCGGCCACTGATGAACAGGAGTCATCTCCTGAGGATGATTGCCATCAAGCCACAGATTCTGTCCTAGGTATGGAAGACGCCCAGAATGCTGGGTAGGCTTCCCGAGTGGCTGATACTGCATTTGATGCAGGTCGATGTTGGCAGGTCGCGCTTGAGTGGCGGCTTGAGGCTGAGGGTACAACAGCGTCGAAACATGATGCACTGGCCTGTATGGCGAGTTCCGCTGCTGTAGAAGATAGCTTGGAGATATCTGCGCAGCAGGATGTAGCGCGGTTGCGGACTGCGGGACCATATTGGTTGGCGAAGTTGTGCCGGAACCACCAAATGGGCTTTGATTTCGAGATGAGTATTGAGAGTGTGGCTGGACCTGTGGTTGTGAAGATGGCCCAGCCGATGCAGGCACTTGCGTGGTTGAGCTTTGGCTGCTGCTATTGGGATAGACCATGGCCATTGCTCTTTGTGGTACTGTCATTGGAGGAAGCTGAGCATTCTGCGAAGCTGGGAGTGAATACGCGTTGACAGTCGCTTGCGAAGGGGGTATCGACAAGCTTGGCAGAGTCAGCTTCGGCACCGGCTGACCATGAATTGGCTGAGGCGGCATCGTCGAATATCGATTGGGAGAAGTGTAGCTCGGATAGTTTGGCGCCATTCTCTTCGCTGGAGGCTCAGTAGCACAATCGTCTACCAAGCTACGCTTTCTGCTGCTGCCTTGATGTCCATTCTGAAATTCTGGCCGGGCTAGCGGAGATGGCACAGGTGTAGGACCATGTGCACCAGCATTGTTGTAGGCTCCGCTGTGAACGAGTTCGGGTGGAAATGGTGGAGAGGCTTGGTTAGATCCTGGAGGCGAGGGAAGTGCCACTGGCAGATTCAAAGAAGAAGCCGGGGGGAGAATTGGAGCTAGAGGCTGCGGTCTCGAAGCTTTCTCGAAGAATTGTGCGAATCGCCCCAAAAGCGACTGCCATTCCGCCCAGTCCTGCTCGGAGGTGAACAAGCAGTATTTCATATTGCTGAGGAACTCCACCTCCATAATGTGTACCTCGGCTACGTTGATGCCAGAGACTTCTGCCCAAGTCTTATTGGTATAGGTGTTGTCGTCCAAAAATTTATTGCCTAGCATCAAAGCCACAGTGAGCAGCCTGTATTCGCTGCCAGGCTTGCCTCGCACAGTCGGATTCAGCTTCTTCAGGCGGTAAATGAACAGAAGTGCAAGTAGAACGACGTTTTGCGCAACCATGGTGGTAGACAGGATGGTGGTGACCCATTTTCGAAAACCAGTTGTTGGTTTAGCGTCTGGCGAGAGAGGTCTCGAAGGCTGAAGAAGGATCGGAGAGTCCTCGATTTGCTGGAGAATTTCTGAGGATTCAAACCAGAAGAGGCAGGTGATCTTAAAGATGTCAGTCTTCTGTCAAGAGGGTTTTCCCGCGGTTCCAAGCCAAGCTCACCTGTGCAGCTAATTCCGAAAGACTTCCTCCACTATTGTTCACAGTTCGAGGTATTTGAAAGTTAACAGCGATTGTGTTCTGCTGTGACGGCCGTGTCTGCAGTGTGATATCGTGACTGGCCTCCACAGCTGCTTGCCGCACTGGAGATGTATGACCGTTGCTGGATGCACGTGCAAGTACATGATTTCGGCCATGTCCACTGCTGTGAGCTTCCTGCGGCAAGTACGAGGGAGCTGGAGCTTTGTACGCGGCCTGAGCTGCGTATTCGGGGTAGTGCTGGCCATAGTCCTTGACGTGGTAACTTGGTTTTTGGGTGCTGTTCATCTCTGGCGGAGGAGTGAGCGCACGGTTGAAATCTGGCCGCGAGGCGTGGGAGGTCCAGTTTGATCGCGCGTGTTGATAGGTCTGGAGAGAAGCGGGCGGTGGTTGGTCTTTCGAAGAGACGAAGGGGTCTCTGAAGCGGATTGCTGAGTTGGCATACATGTGGAGCGACGGTACAGGGTCGGTCATGGAGAAATGGCGAAGCTGAGGACACGCGTGGTGACAGGAGCTCGAGCGGCGGCAATCATGTGGCCACGAAGGTGCTGGTGAAGCAGGAGCAGCAGGAAGGTAAGAGTGAGGACAATAGAAGTGGATATGGCAAGGCAAGGTGAGGTTCGGCCGGGGTAGTGTGGCTCGCTGAGCAGCAGCAGGCGATAGTTCGAGCGTACCAGAGCCAGAGCCAGAGCCAGCGCCGGGGCTGTCAACGGAAGCGGCAACGGCGTGTGCAGGTGGCAGCAGGTAGCAGGTGGCAGGTGGCAGCGGCAGCAGCAGCAGCAGCAGCAGCAGCAGGTACTACTACGACCGTACGGACGGCGAGGTGGATGTTGATTGCGCACGCAAGGGAGGCGGCAGTGAGGTATGCGTGCGAGATGTACGAATGCCTCCACAACCGACACAGGCGGCAGGACGGATGGAGAGGGAGAGCGCGCCAGTGCATGCTCCTAGCGTCAGTAGTGATCAAGGTCTAGGTCAGTAGTAGTGTATGGAGCAGAGAGGCAGAGCCATGCCATCATGGCGTCGGGGCACGAAGCACACGGAAGGAAGGAAAAGGTACACTGCCCTGAGAGCTACAGATGTCCATACACGGTGTATTTAACTTTAGTCTTTCGGGCTTATAAGCACGGTGTACACCCTATGACCATACACGGGACACAGATTAATCAGCTGCGGGGCTAATATAGACCCCCATTGGGTACGAGTCATTACGGAGGATATCCCCCCTCCGGTATAGTTATCCGCTGTATCCGGCGATAATAAAAGGTGTTCACTGTTCATAACTTATAAGGAGGGACCAGTCACCACTGAGAGCCTGAATGGAAGATGAAGGATGGCTCAGCGCTGCGCTGCGCTGCGGGTCTGAGCGCCGCGCGGGCTCGGGCTCGGGCTCTGGTCTGGCTCAGCAGCAGTGGAGACGCGACGACACGAGACCGGAGAGTGCAGAGAGCGCAGAGTGGAGGGTGAGGGTGAGGGTGAGGGCGAGGGTGAGGGTGAGCATCGCTGCGCCGCCGGCCACTCAGCACACCAGCAGCAGCAGCAGACTCAGACTCTGGGCCGGCTGTGGCTTGCAACATTACGCTTTGGTCTTAGGCCGCCTGCCTTGCAGCGGCCGCAGCCCGTCACGCTCGTTCGCTCGCCCTCGCCCTCGCCCTCGCCCGTTGCCAGCTGCCCACTCTCAGGCTCAGCAGAGCCTATTAGCCTAGCAAGGACTCGCGGCATCGAGATTCGACAAATAGCCCATAGCCCATCCATGGCCCATCCGTCTATCATCCATCCATCCATCCACCAAACTCCCCAAGTCCCGCGCCTCCGGCCTCCCTTCAGCCATGACCTGGGCCTGCGCCAGCACCTGCTGCTGCTCCATAATAAACCACCACTGTAGTACATAATAATGATTGGAGCTTGTGCCGCAGCAAGCAATCATAGGCTTGCTGCCAGGCTCAAGCTCGTCCCGAGCGCAGGGCAGGGCCTCCGTATGCAACCGTGGACACGCCGCACACCGAAGCCTAAAGTGAATCAGTCAGATCGCATTCGGCAGCGCGCGCTGGCCCCAAGAGGCTGATCCCAATACTGTTGTAGTCCCAATAGATTGAGCTGAGCAGGACAAGCGGGCGTGACTGACATCAGAAAGGTACAGGGAGTAGTGCCACAAGTTCTGGCACACCGAACGCTGCCGCTGCCGCTGCTCATCAGTGCTCACCACCTCACCAGACTCCCAGCATCATATGCAACCTAGCCGACGACGCTAACTAGTACTGTTTTGTACCCGTCGCCGCGGGTCGTCTGCAGTGCTGTTTGAGGCATGTGCCTATCCTTTGCCTGCCAAGCCATCGTCTTGATTGGCACGCCGATGCACTTCTGTTGAGCACCATCACAGACCTACCACTGTTGTTCTATGGCCCAGCTGTGATCGTGGACCTCAGTCATGCATGCATGGCAGACTCACATACAGTACTGTATGACCGTGTATCATGTCGCATTCATCCTCAAACGTAGCCAGGGACTACTGCGAATGGGATTGCTAGTTAAGCGATGCGATGGGCACAGGCGTACCAGATCCCGTGTCAGATCATATGGATGCGCAGCGTGCCGGAGCAGGCAGTCAAATGAACAACAAGAGACACTTTCGATGGACCAGGCCTGACAGTCCAAAGTCATCTCATGTGGCTGCATCATCAGGCCCGTTATTCTTGTCGCTTCCGAGGCTTCGGGGGAAGATGCTGGAAAGTCACACATTGATGATTCACAGCACCAACAGCAGCACGAAGTCGCTGGCCTTCCTTCCCGGGTGGCGTATCTCGCAGACTCGCACACTTGACCTCCTTGATCCACATCAGGCAACGCTAGTTGTTGGCGATGATGAGTAGAGCACTACCGTACTCCTCCTGATACGGATGCCATTTCATTGCTCGTCTTCGTGTTGTACCTACGTACTACTACGATGCGCGCCGAGAGGGGCTCGGTTTTGCATGGCATGAGTTTTTTGACTTTCGAACGAGCTCTGACTCTGCTTGGAGCTGGAGCATTACGAACGAGTCTACGCATGATTGGTGAGATACTCGCATAGGTGGAGCATTTTCGGCCAGCTCAGATCGCCTGTCGCAACTCTCTGGAACGTCTAACGTCTTGTCCGCGAGCGCGAGGACTAGCCAGCCAGCCTAGCCTCAGTACTAGCTAATAATCTTTTTGCCTCCTCCTGCGCGGTAGAGCAGCTGCACCTTGGGCATTCTATATCGAGTGCTTTTCTCCTGATCGTAGTACGAACATGGGGGCTGTTGAAGACGCTGGCTAATTTGGTCGCTACACGTTATGAGGCGGGCACACGTCGCAGGCTTCCCGGCGATTCATTATTGATCCTAGCGAAAAAGCTTTTAGAGGACCAGCCATATAAGGTCTGATGCGATGGTCGGGGCAGGCGCTGCGCTGCGGTGATGACCGCGATCAATACACCCGCGAAATCAATCTGTTGCGGGTGCTAGCTTCGTACGGCATTATGCGTGACGGTGCGGTCTGGGCAGCCCTCGTCAACGCCTCCACTCCTGTCCATCGCGAACTCTCTCACGCATCACCGAACGCGGCCCGTCGATAAGAAATTTCTGTTGCAAACGATCGCCAATTTAGTCCTACCACGGCGCAATCCAAAATCTCACCATGCACGCCGCTTTGGTCTCTTGCAACCGCGCCAACGACTGGGCTACTGGACAGGAACACTATCCGTGCCTTGCTGTTGCATGACTTTTGCATTCGCTGGGCCTTCTACGGTCTGGCGAATTGTGAGACTCGGTAGGATGCCTATACCTTGGTTTCTCATATGCTCAGGCACGCCGGCTTGCGACTCCCGTCTCCTCTCCTCGTCGCAAGGCTTTGCACATGTCATACGCTAACTACTATCGGCTGGAACTCGTGTCACGATCTCCTCCGACGGACATCATCTACAACTAACAGAGCTTGGTGATCAGTGTGCCGTGTGATGCACCCACTTCAAAGTACAGCAGTGTTGGAATGCAGGGTGTATGTGTGTTTGTCCATCAGCCGTGCTTCTGAGACAACACGCCACATTGCATGTTCGAGCTCAGCTGGGGCTTAGACCGTCGGCACACAAGGATGCAATATATGGCACACAGGGTGCCCGACGCTTCATCTGCCTTGGCCCTTCGTGCCGAACATGATGATGATCAATGAATGGGTCTGCCACCGGTCCTCAAAGAAGGCGGCCGCGGCGAATCCCAGATGCATGTTGTCTCCATAATGATGAGCATTATTATTAATCTGCTGCTGTGTGGCCACATTATTGCAGTCACGGCGTCAGCATCAAGCTTTGCTGCAGTTCTCAACTCTTTGCTACACAGGCCGAGACAACGCTTTCGAGCCCATTATCGGTTGCACGCAGCAAGGTCCACCCTCAGTGGTCTACCGATGCACATGGCCCGGAACTTGTTTGCACGTAATTTATTGGGCCCGTATTTAATACCGCATGCACGGTCTTTTTACCCCCACGCTCGTTGCGAAGGGCAACCTACTGCAGAATACGGAGGTAGGAAGACAGAAATTGGACGAGAAATTGGACGAGAAATTAGACGAGAATTTGGACGAGTATAGACGACGATTTTTGATATACGTTTATTCGCGACGTTTTTAAAAAGAAAGATACTAATAGCCTCCGGCGGAAGGGGCAGTGTCTCGCGCAGAATAGCACCCCTGCGCCTCGAGCATACCTTACAGACGGGTCCCCCCTTCCTATGGTCGCAGGCTCCCTTCGGAGGGTCCCCGCCGTCCGACGGTCTCGGCTAGCGGGGGCCCCTACTATTCTTTGCCCCGGGGCGGAGCGGGATTCCGAAGAGGGGGGAGGGCGACAGCGAGGTCGAATTTCCGGCTAAAATGCCGGAAAGGGACCCCTATGCGAAATATATATACCGCGTCTACGCGATATATATCGTCCTACGCGTCAAAATTAGCGATAAATAGGGAGGGACAGTACTTACGGTAGCGACAGCGAGGTTAATATAAGAAAGAGGAAGAACGCGATAGGAAGATATATATATATATACCGAGAAGTAAACAAACATCCTATTTAGGAACGTAGGGGCATGCGGTATTAAATTCGCCTCTAATTTATTCCTTTTACTAGATTTACTTAGTAGTATGTATAAGTCGCGCTGTTATGCGCTAGATAAAAGGACCGAAGCATATATAGGCTCTAGGCGCATCGGAGTGCTAATTGCAGGGATTTCTCGTATATCCGAGGCAGACCGATCTACTCTTTTAGAGAGCGCTTTGCTATATAAAGATATACTAAACCGTACTTGTCTCTAGACCCCTAATATCGCCGGCTTATATAGGCGGAAATCGAGAGGTTTTACCGAAGATCGATGCCCTCTTACTAGTGTTACGTATATACTAATTGTTATACGACTAATTCTTTATATAATATATCAACCGCTTTTAGAAGTAAAGGAAAGGAAGGAGAGTTGCTTTCTAAAGGGAAGAAGGGGTATTTGTAGATTAATACGGCTACTAGGTCCGTACGGATTAAACTAGGAGTATTATAGTAATACGGAGGATATAGAGAGGGCGGTACGGGCATATAACGTAGTATATATATATAGAAGTCCCGTCTTTAGTATTCCGAGCCCTCCTCTTAACCCTCTGCTTCCTACTAATCTTTTCTAATACCCTATACTTACTCTAACGCGTACTATACATAGTATAGGCGCTAGAGATCTTGTTTAGGTACTTTTCGGCACCGTAGAGCCCCCCCTCTTCGAAACTAACGATATACGAACCTGCCTAAGGTTTATCGCCTATCGAGGGCTAAATTTAGGCGTCCGGCGCTGCTTAAAAGGCTAGAGGAAAGCGCGGAAGAGCGAGCGTAGTTAGGGGTACTAAATAACTTAAATTCGAGGGTAGGAAGTCTAGTAGGCTCGCCTACCTTCGCGACTCTACCGCCGATAAGTCCGCCTCGAAGGGGTATTGTTACTAAGCACTAATCTTAATCGCAATCGCAAGTTCGAGCCGGTAGAGTCCGCTACGGTAGTATCCTACGTTTCTAGTAGCGAGAGCGTACGCCAAATACGCCGCCGCTAGTATATAACCGTCTGCCTAAGTATAATAAGTCTTAGCGCTAGATAGACGAGTAACGAGAGGTGTTAGCGCAGTTTAGACCGCCGGTAGAAGTAATTAATCTAGAAGACAGCGACTCTAAGGATAAAGGGCTAGCCTACGTTATACCTCGAGCTTAGAGAGTCCTATTAGCTCGGTAGGAGCTTGCCGAAGGCGCTAGGAACGCGCCGTCGGCCGCTTTGCCTAATCTAGTTAGACCCTCGATACCTCGATTCTTAGATTCTTAGTCTTCTTAATCTTCGAATACTACTTAATCTACTTTACTAACCTCGTTTCTACTATAACCGACCGCTAATCGACCTGCTAGACAACTACAACTTCTATTACTACGCTTACTGCTATTTAGGACCGTCTACGAGCTGCCTATATACGAAGTTGCGACCTAAGAAACCCCCGAATCCTAAATCTACCGCCGAGCAGTTGTTCTATATAAATTACGCTCTTATATTAAGAGCCTTCGCTGTATAGCTAAATAGCTATACTAGCGTATCGTAAACTAGTCTTAGAGATGCTATTCGACCGTCCGAAAGATCTATAACGAGCCTTTTACGCCTAGGGTTTGCCGCTATCGAATATAAGACGATAACTCGAATAACGCCTAAGTTCGAACTCTTATCGTTATTAACCTACCTAACCGACGAAGGGCAATCTATACTATAGAATAACAACGCCGCATTATCCGCTTTATTATATAGAATGCTACGATACGCCGTATATCCTATCGCGAGATTCGAGATACTTTAGGCCTCGATTGCTACCTTTTAACGATTTCCCGCATTTGTCGACGATTTAGCTTTAGGCGGTATATTACAAGAGCGAGACCCTTCTATAGTAATAATATACGCTAAAAGCGACTAGACTTCGTACGGCTATACCTATACTAGACACTCTCTAACTAGTTTAACGTTCTATAGTCTAATAAATGCGCTGTCCGTAATAGCTCTTATAAACGGCTGTTTGTTACTCGTAGGGTCGCTAAACGCAATCTAGACGTTTGTTCGAGGCCTCGCTTCTAACGCCTACCTTACTAGATAGTTTAGGCCTATATTAGTAGCATTAGTAGCAAAGGACCTATAGTCTTATAGAATATAAGCGATTAGGGCACTATAACTGCAGCCTTATATATAAGACGTATTATTCTAGTCGTTGCTAAGGAAATAGGCCGTATAAACAGCCTTATTACCGGACAATAGTATAACTATATGCTAGCGCTTTATTAACGTACTGCTATCTTCTAGCAAGACGGCGCTACCTCGTATAGAGCGGCCTCGACTATTGCCGCTATATAATAGCGCAATATTGCCTTAATAGACTAGCTACCTTCTTTACCTAATTTAAACCCGATTAAGAACATATAGCGCGCGATTAAGGTAGGCATTAAACAGCGTAGAGACAGGCTAATAGGCCGTAAACTAGCACTAGCAATCCTTCGAGAATACGATAATATTACTAACTAATAGCTTAACTTCTAGATTAGTAGTATACTATAGCGTTATTAAGAGGTTATTAATACTAATAGCGGCTAAACTCGTTAGTAGATAGTGTCTCAATCATTGTCTTTATTTGCCTTCTATACGGCTCTTAATTGTTGTCTATAGTAGCCTTCTATACGGCTTAAAAATGGCTCCTTCTTAACCCTAATCGACACCTTCGAGAACTAAGGTTTTAGCAATATACGGCGATTGGTTATTGCCCCGGTCCACTCACTGTAACTACTAGGGGATAGCGGGACTAACTAGCAGGGAGGTAATTACAAGCGCCAATTTAGCGCATTAGCACTCCGATGCGCCCAGAGCCTGTATTTCGCTAGTCCTTCGTTCCATGCGCACGCAATCGTGCCGTGGCGCAGGCCAGCATCAAACAACAAGGGGAGCGGACAACGGATGGGCAGCACTTGGCGGGAAAAAGAGCTGGGCAATGGGCATGCTCGCCCTTGTGACACGCAGACTCTTGACTCTTGGGCGTTTGCAGATGCAAGCGAATCATGCCGGGGTCGAGAAAGACGCGGCTATCCACAGACTTCCGGATGCAAAAATTTCTAGTCCCATCGGCAGGATGGATGACATGCAATACCTTTGCAACGCTGCTGCTTTCATGCGGCGTCATCCTTACGCTGGGCTGGCATGGCTCTGGTACTCCGTACCGTACGGTCGTATCGCGGTCCTATGTGATGATTGCACGCCAGGCCAGGCTGAGATGATGAAGGCTGCATGTGTACGGTGCATCGCCTTGAACGAGCAAGAGTCAGAGCTAAGCGTCTGCCTTTCAACCGTCGCGACTGCAGTAGTACAGACTGTAGAATACGGTATACCGTACACAGCTGCGGGGCACGATTCAAAAAGCGGTCAATCTAATCGGGGATGGGGAGGCCACAAACAATGCAGGTCACTTCAGCTTGCTCAGCCTGCACACTGCACAGCTGGAGCTTTCATGCCGCCGCGTCTGCTCCGGAATCCGCATGATTCCCATGATGATGACATGTTGGTTTGAGTGAGCGTAGCAAGTCGCGGTCGTAATGCATCTGCAGCCAACCGCCGAAGCCCACCTGCCGCACGACTCATCTAATGTCGCGTATGACAACCACTACCACTAGAAGTACCACCTCGTGTGCGGACTTGTGCCCTGCAGCAGTGAGGCATTGTCTTTGCGACGTATGTCCGTCCATTCCTGCCCAGGCCGTCCAGCCGTCAGATTATTGTCGCAGGCAGCAGGCTGGATGGATATCATTCCCCGTGCTACATCCCATCCCGTCAACTCGCTGCATCATTCGTCGCAGTATTATTGCACCTTGCCCATCTACGCTACACCCGCGGCATCCTTCGAGGCACGCGAATCGTGAGGCTACCGGCGGCAATTCTTGGAACAGTCTGAGAGACACATGCCTTGTTTCCTACCACATACATGCATGGCTTACGACTGGCTATTCCTCGGCCAGCCTATGACCTACAGAGTGCAGAGCTTGGCCAAGAACTGGGATGTGGATGCAACCTGCGGCACATGGCGCCCCATGCCAGCATTAATTGCAGATGCATTTCCACGATCGCGTCGAGTCAATCTCACATTTGCCAGCGACAACCACTCGTGATCAATTGCTGATATCGGCCGCCAAACGTGCTTTCAGACGGTCTCATCAGTGCAGTGCACACGCCTGATGAGACAGCCCAGCCCAGCCCCGCCCCGCCCAGCCCCGGTCTACAGACATCCTGTGCGATGGACACGTTTCGGACCCCGATCATCATGGATGTCAAGCATCCGCGGGAATTGGAATCGAAGTATACAGTACATTGGCGTCGCAAATCAAGCCCAGGTCCAGGGCACAGCTCAACTTTGCCCAGACCTCCAGGATGTCACATAACCATGCTGTGAAGTTGAATTGCCCGAATTTCGTGTCTACACGAGCATCTGGTCAGACTTCGCGTCTTCATTTGTATTGAACAAGGTCCAAGCCCATTGGCCAAGATTGTACACCAAACTGTAACAGGAAATCCATGTGATGAGCAGGATCGGAGGTCGGAGCAGACTACTCAACCATCGAGATTCGAGAAGACGCACCGTGCAGTCTGACTTCTCGACCAGCAGTCAAACTTCATCAGCAGAATCTGGAAGTCGGTCGCTGCATTGAAGTCTTCCAAGACTCACGAGACGCATCGCGAACACCTGCCAAGCTCTTCACTGGAGCTCCATCAAGTGCCGCTCGCTGAGCAGCTTCGTTCTTTGCCATACTGTCAGAGTGACGAAGCTCAACATCAGGCCAAGCTAGAATCCTGCTCCTGATCACTGAGCTCTCCGTCAGCCTGAGCCTCACTGCCGACAGAAATCCTTGCCTAACGGACTTCCTATGTACAGCGGCGGCCAAGATTCATCCACTTCAGCTAATGCGAGCATGCGTGCTTCGAACTGGCAAAGATCTTACACGAGCATGGCCCGAACTTTCTGTCTGTAGTCAGCTTTTCAGGTTACATATCCCCCTCCCTGCAGCTGACTATATGCAACCCAGATTTGCCAGGATTGCCTATATAAGACGTCTGCCGATTTTTCAAATAGGAAAATTTGACGAGATGCTCACGGATTCAGTCTCTGAAAGGCACTCGTAACTGTCAACGTGATGCAATTCCCTCATTGGATTCGCGACGATGTCAAGAACCACGAGCATCATCGTCTGAGTAAGCAAAGGGAAGGCCAGCTGACTAGAGCCTTTTGGCCTGGGAACAAACGCGATTGCCGGCAGTGTGTCTATCACAGGTCATATCTTCAGTAGCAACATGCATTCTTACTTTTCGAAGCCTATTCGATCTCAAGTCGATACTGCCGATACTACCGACCTGATGGGACGGCAGTAGTTACACTTGCAGATATAGATACATTGATCCACGCTGAAATCGATTGCACTCTCGATTCTATATGGCGACCTGGCGACTTGGGGAATTCCTTGATGACAGCTGTGAGGTAAGGTAATTTTTCGAGTTGCTCGAGAGGCGGAATCATGCTGCGATCTGACCCGGCAGATCGGAGCTCTTCCTGGAGACGCTTGAGGATCGCGGGTGATTGAAGGATGTGATATATATATTCCAATCATCGTCGTGTTTCCCGATGATTCTGCACCCCCAAAGAAAAGAGCCTGGGCCTCCTCATATAAGCTGCCAGGTGAAGGCACGCCTGTAGCTTTGTTCGCCTCCTGATCCATAGGCCGATGGTAGAAGGTCGCATGGGGTGTCTTCTGGAGAGTTTGAGGATTTTTCACAACCTCGTTGACCTGTGCTCCCAGAAGCTCTTGAAGGTCAACGAGACCTGCGAGCGCTGGGTTGGTGAGTTTCGTAAGCCATCCAGGGAGACTGAAGACGATTTGACGGATTGGTTCGAAGTGACGGAAAACGACAAAGCTTGGAAGACAGGCTTCCATCGCAATGACAATCGGTGACTGGAAATCTTTTACTTCTGTGCTTTTCACGTCCTTCGCGAAACAGTATCGCGTGACCACGTCCAAGGTAGAGCATCTCAGCGCGAAGAGCATGTCACTTGGCTTCTTCGCTCGGCCATACTTCTCCAAAGCTATGCAAAGCCGTTCGATATTCTATACCAGATCAGCCATCAGAAATGCTATTAGGCATAGGGACGAACGACACAAACCTTCTTCACAAGACCTTGCAGATCACCAAGCACGTCTTTCCTCTGCTTTGCTTCTTTATATGTCAAGAACCAGAAACTGGATCTGTCCTCTCCAAAGCAATGATACAGTGTCTCCTCCTTGTCCCATCGATTAGCATTGTTATAAATTTCATGGAAAGCGTTCGGGTTGCTGAAGTTCAATCTGAGATAAATGGTCAGCAGCGCTTCTCGATTCTGGTGAACATCCTTCACATGAAAGCATGTGAAGGATTAGTAAGGTTTCATACTCATTACTTCCAACTCTCACAATGTCACCATCTTGGCCATGTAATTCCTTCAAGACATCGGTCCAATTTCGACCCTTGAACACTTCTTCCACAGTCTTATACCACTCTGTAGCAACACTCTTCGGGCCTGGAAATCTCGTGAGCGGGTGCAAGAATGCGTTGTAAAAGGTTGACCCCAGCTTGTAGCAGATGAAGGCAAGGATCAGTCCTCCTATCGCTTTTGCAATCGTGACAGCCATGATGTGTGTGCAGCACTGCTTTTACTCAATCACTAGGAGACCTGTGAAGCTCCCTCCGAGGCATACCTGGCTTTGTACTGCAGCTCAAGGGTTGAGCGTGCCGTGGTGGAGCTTCTTGCAGCAGTAGTGCTTGTCTAACGGTGGGATGTGAAGCGACTGTAGCAAGTGAGACGATTCAGTCGTTGCTTTTTCTAGATGGTGCTTATCAGAGGTCAGCACTTAGCGCGAACGATCACTGGCTAGACGATACTACTAGCTAATCAAGAAGATACAGCCTCTGGAATGATTACAGTAGGCGCTGTGCCATTCAACAGCTAGATCTTCATTACCCGGTCGAAAGAGGTCCTACACCGTCAACAACCAGGCACACTCCGCACTTGATACTCGAGCCAAGGTTACAGTCTGCAAAATGTGCAGCACTGGACGAAATATTTAGCAGAGTCGTTCATACCCATCACGGCACTGCAGGCACGCGAATGTCGAATGCTTTCATCTCTTCTCCACCGTCACCAATTATCCCAATTCTGTCTCGATTGTCGTCAATAATACGACCATATTCAAGCAGCAGCCGTAGCAAGTAGACCTCGATGTCTTCAGGCCTCAGAACCTTGGCTGCCCACTCGCGACCCTGTCTAGCCAGCTTCATTGCCTCAAAGTCATGGCTCCAGACCGTGACTTTATTGGCTGGATCTTGGTCCGAAGGCTTGATGCCGATGAAATAGAGCAGCAAGCTATACAGATCATCATAGCGATTGTCCATTGGCACGAAGTGACGCCACGCGAAGAGTCGGCTGTCATGCCATTCACGAAATATCGTAGCTTTAACACCCAGGGAACGAGACTGGAGGAATGCTCGCCATCTGCCCGAAAAAGAATGCCCGTCGACATCGATGAGGTATTTCGAACGGAACGTGTCGGCAAAGCTGGTTGGGTTGAGTATTGTCAGCGATGAGTTATAGAAATCGCAGTTGGGTATGCAGGCGACTTTCTCAGTGAAGCCAACATCGAAGTGGTCATGGGCGAAGTTCGCGGGTGTGAATTGTTGTATTGTGTATCGAGATTTCTCGCGACCATCGTTGGCGAGCACATCCGTCTTCGAATTTCCAAGCTCGGTACTGTTCGTCATCAGAACAAGACGCTGTCGATGCATGTTTCTCCACCGCTCAGGATCATCATGAACAGTGTTGCCTCCGCTGGTGACACCGCGCCAGATCATAGTGTCATCCTTATCGTCCCAGTTAATGTCATGTTGGTCATTGTAGTTGTAACGTTTATCGCGCTTCCAGTACATGTTTGCCGGGAAGAGTATATCATTGTTGACATTCGTTCGACATTCGCCAAAGATGGGCACCAGTTTGTGGGTCACAAGCATAGACGTGCTGGCATACAGCATACCGTGAAGATTCGCTAGTTGTGGACCGACTGTGCACAGGTCTGAAGAAATGTTGAAGTTTGTGATGAAGCCGCCTTGATCGTGCTTGTACAGCTCCTCGGCTTCCTTGAAACGCACTTCAGATCCTGGATCCGTTGCATACGAACCAGGCGGGCAAGCCTTTGCGGCAAGGTCCATGAACCGTCCGCCAGCGAAATTGAACCAGCCATAATCCGGGCGAGGGTCAGCAGCTGTGCTCACACGATGGTTCGGAAAGACAAAAGGATTCCATCGATTTAGCCACTGCGGCTCTGGAACTTGAAATCGTGGGATGAAAAGACCTGACATCCCTTTTGTGAAAGCGTCCTCAACGCCTTGCTCATCTAAACTTCGACTCTCCTCTTCAATTTTCAAGTATGCTTGCAAATCCTCCCAAGGGACAATGACGCGAGGCTGGTCCATACGATTGATCGGTATATCCATATCCGGGAGGTATTTCGCAACCTGCTTGAGCATTTTGATAAATGTCTCGCTGCGCCAACCCCACTCTTCCTGAAAGACCTGGCCATTGCGCAGAGAAATGGTCGCTATCAGATCGGGCCACTCATCCGATGAATGCGCTGCAAAGCTTCGAATCTCTGCGGGTGGTATGGCCCAGAATGGTCTCAGGTCGTCATTAATTTGAGCAAAATCGTCGATGTTGTATACGCCTTTCCTCCTCGCAAACTGATACCATTCCTTGAAGCCGGGCGGAGGATGTCTGCCTGTCTGCCATCTATACTTCTGGACTGTTTCACTGAAAGTCTTGCTTCTGTCGTTATCATAGTGCTGGAACCGGGAATCTGCTTCTGACATAAATTGTTTGATAGGATGCTCGTCGTCTATCGGAACTCGGGGCGTGGGCTCTCGAAAGTTGACCCAGACATGAGAGCCAACGGTCTGTTCGGTCCTGCCTGCGACGACCGGCAGCCATTCTTTGGCAGCGTCGCTCCACAAGGCAGCAACATTGAGAACAGCCAAGGTCAGCAGTATGCAGGCTATGAAGATGTAGGTCCTGCGGCTTGGCAAGCGATCATGGCGCTGAAGTCGCCCACCAAGCGGCATGGCGGTCGCATGCTGCTGGCCGCAATTTGTTTCGAGCAGTTGAACAAGAGTAGTGACTGGGCGCCATTGTAACACAGCATGCAGGCGGAGGAATGCAGAGGATCGGCCTGAGATCAGTTGACGCTAAAGCGGCGCTCGGGAGTGAGCACGGCCCCGCGTCTGGTTACTCTGGTATCGTCGTATCAATGCAGTGCTCTCTCGAAACTCAGCACACGGTACGGTGTGCAAACATAGGACCTAGAAGAAATAATACAACACAGACCGCTCAACATGCCACCTCGACTGCAGCTACTGCGTCGAGCAGCAGTGTCGATTCCGAAGCAACCAATATATCAGCCATTGGCACCCTTCCTCTACCCGTCTCTGAACCAGCAGCGCTCCGCCTCGATTCTCTCCTCACTGTCAGACAACAAGGGCGCATACAACAAGCGCATCCGGCGAGGTCGCGGACCTGCCAGCGGAAAGGGAAAGACATCAGGACGTGGTCACAAGGGTCAGAAGCAGCATGGAAAGGTCCCTGCGGGTATGAATGGAGGTCAGACGCCAGATTGGGTCGTGGCTGGCAAACGAGGCTTCAAGAACCAGTATGTCATCGCGATATGATCGTACGTTAGTGGGCGAATATCTTTCTGACGTTGTTGCCAGCTTCTCCGTGGACATGACCAAGGTGAACCTCAATCGCATACAGGACTGGATCAATCAGGGTCGACTAGACCCAACACAGCCCATCACTCTGAAAGAACTTAACAACTCACGCTGTGTTCATGGCGTCAAGGACGGCGTCAAGCTACTTGCGCGCGGCAAGGAGGAGCTCACAACGCCCATCAACATCATAGTTTCACGCGCGAGCGCCGAAGCAATAAACACAGTCGAAAAGCTCGGCGGCACTGTGACGACGAGATACTATACCAATTTCGCCATCAAGAGAATCCTCGAGGAGAAGATGGATCCAATCCACAGCATTCAATCGCGCATAAGTTTGGCGGCGCGGTCGGAGGCCGGTGCTGAGGAAGCCCGAGCAGCCATAGCTATGGACGCGAAGAAGTACAAATTCAGGTTGCCAGATCCGACAAGCAGAAAAGATCTAGAATACTACCGCGACTCGGCGCATAGAGGGTATCTCAGCCATTTGGTAGAGCCTGGTCATGGACCAAGTTTGTTCTTCAGAACACCTGGAATGGCCAGTAAGCTGGGTGCTGGCAAGAAGCAGGCTGGGAAGAAAGTCTCGTCACAGCAGAAGAGCAGTGACCGTTTATGGTAGAGTATGCTCTGGCGAGCGAACGTCTGTATTCACGTTGTTCACGATACCGTTTCTTTCATGCTCGTCACCGTGTGCCGATTTTACAAGCCCGATCCGGCGCCCATTGCAATCTTCGAAGCCGATCGCAATCTCGACCTCCACTTGGCATATGATCGCAAGTCATCGTCAGCGGCATTTTTACATGCTTTTGGTCATCACGAACAGCAAATACGATATCGCTGAACAACCCAGTAGATGTTGGCGGGCTATTACTGGCCAGAGCGATTTCTACAGGATGGTTGACGAGGAGCCGAGGTGGGTGAGAAAGTGTGCTTTGGTTGGGATGTGGTATGAAGCTTTTGACGGCTGTTACGATGTCGATTTGGTTGCCCATGGCGAAGGATATATGACTTTCTGAAAGCATGAAAATCAGACCTCTTGAACTTCTTTCCCATAGAGGGCGCGCTCAGTCGAGCATGATTGTACATTTTGAGTCTCTCTACCTTAACACCTATATGTGTCTTGGACGCATTATTCGTGATCTGAGGTGATGCCTTTGGACGCCCACGACTTCACCAGAGTCATTGCTCAGGAGCTTCCCTGACGCCTCGCTAAACCCTGAATCAAAAACAAAAAGATGCGTCGCAATGCCAATTTATTCATATGCTAATGCCTTCACAAATGCCTTGCTGGTTCAAATACATGCCTCGTGAGTTCAAGCAAGCTTCTTTTCGTGGTCTGGTTCGTGGATGTAAAGTCGAGATTACCAACATTGCACCAATTCGTTCCGCTCACCGTGATTGGCAAGCAAGACAGGTACTTGCACCAAGAGCAGCCAGTTCGCCAGACATAGAAATTCTTGAGCAGGAGGATGAAGGCGATCAGCACACCAACCAGCGCCAATGCGCGTACGAGCCACCAAGCCCACCAACCGCCGCGACGGTCCTTGAAGAAACCTTGAGGATTCTTGACGAAGCTCTTCAGTCCTTCGCTACGTGAGGCCGGAGTCATGACCTGCTGGTAGGAGAATGGGTCGAGCTGAGATGTGCGTCGGGCGACAGAGCTGGGCGAGCGCAACAGGCAGATACCAAGAACAAGACCCATGACGAATCCTCCAATATGCGAAAAATTGTCCAATCCCGGTAGAAGGCCGAGGACAAATGCGATCAGGATGTCAATAATGATGAACAATAGGTCCTTGATTGGACTTTGTCGATCTCTCCAGTTGTACAATAAATCCAGAAGGATGATAGCCAGAATGCCAAAGAGACTGCCGGAGCAGCCAGTCGATGCAATGCCAGTGGCAGCAAAATTTCCTCCGAGGATGAAGCCGAATATGCCGGCGGCAAAGTACAATATGGCAAATCGTATGCTTCCGATGAGCAGCTCAACATCGCGACCAAGTGTCAATTGCAGGAGTAGATTAAAGCCGATGTGTATGATTCCGGCATGCAAGAAGATTGGGACAATAAAGCGCCACCACTGATCGGGCGCTGGCTTGTCGTCCAACGAGCCGTTGACCTTGGGGTTGCGGTCGGCGCTGAAATTGCAGAGGTCGGAAAGCTGGCAGGTAACGCTGTCGCCGGTGGTAGCGGTAGCGTTCGGACATGGCCACCAGATGTTAATACTGCTGTTTTGCACGTTTGGCATAGTATGCATGCAAGGCTGGTATCTTGCTCCCATGTTGATCAGGACATATGGCGAGGGGCCGATCATGGGGTTGAAGGATGGATGTATCTCGATGGGCGACTTTGTAAGGACGGCGTTTCTAGTGATCTCGGCGATGAAGACGGCCAATTGTACGATGGTCAAGACGTAGACGACCCAGGTAATCTTGCCCTTGAACCAGCCTTGTTCTCCGTCTGGTGTCGCTGTGTCTCGCTTTCTTTTCCGCCCAGGACGCACATCTCTCACAAAAGGATCGTCTTGTTCGTGTGGCAGAATGGGAGAGACAGTGTGGGCCGAGTCGTGCTTGGGCTTTCTGCCATTCAGCGGTATGGCTTGGTTGTCATCGAAGGGGTCGGCATCGTCTCTTAGGCGCGCATTCGAGCCTGAATAAGATTGCGCGGGAGTCTGGTGTGAATATGGGTGCGAGCCGTCACCAAAGGGCGACTGTTGCGGGAGTGGTGGCAGCGGCGCATGGGTTGGGTCTGGATAGTCGTGGTAAGGACTGACGGGGTGATGTGCGGGATTCGTGGTGTAGTAGTCGTTCGCCGCCATGGGTTGCGATGTGAGAAGCGAGTGTATTGTATGGCGTGGGAGGCTCGTCTATGGCAGCGGTCTTTGTTTTGTAGTGAAGGGCACACAAGCTTGCGACTTCTTGCTTGCGTCAGCCGAAATAGTGAATCGCGGTGCGGCTTCGCGTCGTTTGGCGTGCGACGACACGAAACGGGGATGGAAAAGCGACACTGCTGAAGCAGTTCACATCCACCAGGTGTCTGCTCGACATATGATGGATGCATAGCACCTGTCCTGCCTGATGACATGCAGCCTTCCACAGCACGGTACAGCCATGAACATGCGCCGCATCGCCGTTGGCTATCTACGGAAATTGGACTGTCCAATGCAGTGTATGGCGTCTCGTTGCACATTATTATTATTACAATGATTCTGCCTCCAAGCACCATCCCTGGCCCATGTCTATAAGTTATCAATGGAACTTCCACCCGCAGCAAACCTTGACTTTGTCCCATCCGCAAGGCAGAAGAGACAATTCACCCCGTTCTTTGTCAACACTCTCACGAAGAAAGCCCATTCATGAATGAACCACTTTGTTTCCCCTTACACAAAGACTTCAGCAACTATGAATAAACTAATGCCGCCTTCTGCACCTATAACAAGTGCATGCGACCTTGTCTGCGCGCTGTCTGCCCAATATCGAAAGAATCCACCTCACACCAGCGCAGGCGCCTTGGAAACATATTCTCGCTCTGGAAGCGAACAGCGACCCAAGCAAAAGTCATGCCTCACACTGAAGAATCAGCTCCAATCCTGACTCCGCCACCTGGTGTGGAACCCATGGAGTTTCTCATGGAGCAAGCGAGGAGGAAGTACAAACTGAAAGCAGCGTCCAGTGCAGTGCCAATGCCTGCTATACCGACACCAGAGAACTTAGACACCGATGAGCGCACGGACGCCGCCATTGCTGTGTCTGAAGACTTGATTACAGAAGCCCACGCGCACCTGAACACATTTCGTTTCAGACCACTCGAGCTTACTCCAGCCGAGAATGCTGAGCACACCAACGCAAATTCTTGGCAGCATGCTTATGACACGGCCAGTCGCTACAGTCAAAAGCTGGCCAAGGACAATGACAAGCTCTCTGAGATCGCCATGCGCTTGATCAATGAGCTGCAAACCGCTGGGCTTCCAGTTCCAGCAGACATTGAGATCCCAAGCCCAATCACGCCCACCACTCGCGAACTCGACATCCCCTTGAACACCCATCTATGGTTGCAAAGGCGATACAACTTCCGTGAGTACAGCAATAGAGACTTCGAGGCAGCAGCTGCTGCCGAAGGTAGGAAGCTCACGACTTTCAATTTAGAAACAATCCCAGAACAGCGTCCCGCTGTCCAGCGAGCAAAAACAGACCAAGAGACTCGGAGGCGGAAAAGTAAGTTCCCCAGCTTTCTCTTGATATGAGGCTGGGTCTGACGTGAACAGGCGTACTGGGATCGGCACCGACGCTGCAGGCTGGCAGTACTCCGAAATGGCATCGTCTTGTGCAAATAGATAAAATGGCAAATTGGTAAGCCGAGTGTTTCTCGAATCGTTAGCTGCGAGGCAAGTACTCTGCATCCATCCGTTCTCTTCCAGCCTCATACGCACTCCTTTTCCAAATTCCAATCGTAGAACCTAAGAAACTCGAAGAAATTCGCATAATACTGCATGACTACGGGTCAGTGATTGTTTCTAGATGGTTATAGTAAACACTGGAGCCCCGACTGTGAAAAGCGTAGATGGCCATCGTTTTGTTCTTAAGACAATTTCAATGCGAATGGTCATCCTGGCAGCACTAAGCATTGTCTCTGATGATGGACCCGGAAGTAACGACAATGTACTGGTGGAAGAACTCCTCACGCAGGTACAACATGGACGTCAAATCCAAACAGAATTCATGCGCCGCGCTGACTTCAGCTATGCGCATGCGAAAAGACACAACAGTCATCGAAATGAGAAACGGCACTCCTACAGAACAGCCTCGCGATATCTACCACATGAATCGGACATTAACATCCCATGACGGGAGCACGAGTCAAATAGCACGCTACCAGGTCCTCAGGCCCGCTTCGCTCTCTTGACCGCGCGCACAATGGCGGAGATCTGACCAGTCTCTAATCCGTCCAAGAGAACAGACAGCAACAGGTTCGAAGTGCTCAATGCTCCCACCAGCTTTATTTTAGTCAACAGCTCAAGAAAACGACGATCTTAAAGACTCATAGTCGTGATCCTGACTGCAATGTATCAACTTTTTCTAAGAGGGGATCATTCGAAAAGTGTCAAGAATGTGGAACATTGAACCGCTTACACCTGTCTCTCTCTCTCTCACTCTCATACAACCTCGTCAGCAGAACATGCCATCTTTTAGCGGAAGCGCAATGGAACCAATAGTGAATTCGGAGTGCCTGTGCTTACCTAGTAGGTTGGGTTGGACACCTTAAGCGCTCCATTTCCTAAGGTATCGAAGCTCTACAGATACTAAGAGAGACGTCGAGAGCTTAGAACATATATACGGCGGGGAGCGGACTTGGACTTGGAGCGCGATTCACTTAGATTATAGACTGCTGCCTATGCTTTACCTCTTAGCTCGGAAACTTCAAGCGCTCCGTCTCCTAACGAAGCTTTGCAGATACGAGAAGGGACGTCGAGAGCTTAGAACATACTCACGGCGGAGAGCGGACTTGGATTTTGATCGCGATTCACTTGGACTGTGGACTGCCTATACTTCACCTGGTAGCTCGAAAACTTCACGCGCTGTCTCCTAACGAAGCTTTGCAGACACGAGAAGGGACGTCGAGAGCACCCAGCATATAATCGGAATGGAGCTAAATCGGGAAATTGACCATAACTTTTGCTTGACAACTCCCATTTTCAGCTATAGACAATGCTACAAAACGCCGTTTCTTCTGCGGCAATATGGGTATCTCTGTAGAAAATCTTCCCCCAACGCTATGCTAAATCTTAATTAAATGCAGCTCGATTTCTATTTATCCATCTTATTAATGCGGCTAATGAGTTGCTTGATCGTGTCTGCCACCTGCTGGATGTCTCCGCTCAGCTTCGTTATGCCATTCTGACCGTCCGAGACAGCCTTATCGTGAGCATCCACGCGCAGCGAAAGGGCATCGATTTGACTCGACAGAGTTGCGAGCTTGGTGCCTATGTGGATAAGCTGACCGTTCAGGTTGTTCGAAGTAGCCTCGAAGTTTCTGGCCTGCGGGTATAAGTTGGAGTAAACGTCGCCCATCTGCTTGACGACTTCTTCGGTGGTGAGGTTGTTAAGGCGAGTCTCGTGCTGGCGAGTCATGAATCTGAGTCTCTCAATCTCTCCCTTAACGAGCTGCATGCCCTTCGGATTGCTACTCTTGGTGCCATTCTTCTCCCTCCCTGGCTGCTGCTCTGCGTCACTGTCCCAACTGTCCTCGCTCTCGCTGTACACGACTGGCTGGAACTGAAGCATTCCAGGCACTTCTCCGTTATTGGCCGAGCCGGCTTTCCTCCTAGCCTCAACCTTCTTGACGCGTTCCTCTAGGAGAGTGACATTCGCTTCGACGGTAGCTAAGCCTTCGGCGGTGCTAGCTTTATCGGAAGCGGCTTCGACGAGACCTAAACGCTTGAGACAGTCGTTGATGGCTTCGGCATTCTGGTACTGGACTTTATCGCTCTCGGTAATGTGGGTTCGCAGGGTAGCAAGGTCGGTAGCATTAACCTTGTCCTTGGCCTCGAGATTCTTCAACTGGGTGCGGAGATCGTTCATCTTCGTAGTAATCTCCTGGTCCTTCTCCTTTAGGGTCTCTTCAATAGTCTCGAACGTCTCGTTCTGCGTTGCCTCGATATCCTTCTCAATGGCATCGACACGTGCTGTGAGGTCACTCAAATCAGCTCTGCTCGAGGTGGTGGCACTGGATGTGCCGGCTGCGCTCTCGAGAGCATCGAGTCTGTTTTTGCAAATAGAAGCGGCCTGTTCAACACTCTTAATTTGACCTAGCAGGGACTCATCCCTGGAAAGCGTGGGAGTCGCCATTGCCTTGGGGCTAATCATATCGGCTATCACGGCGATCACATGCTGCGAGCCGGTGCGCTCCTGTTGCATACGCATTTCAAGGTTGGTGACGTCTTTCTCTGCAATGGCCTTGGCGCGCGACTTCTCCTCTTTAATGGCTGGAAAGGCCGCGAATTGAGGCAAGAGGTTGTTGTACTCGCGGGTTTTAGTGGCACAAACTTCCTTGGCGGCATCGAGTTTGAGGTCGAGCTTAGCAAGCGCAATGGATGCGTTCATAAAGTCGGAAAGCGCGCTAGTGATATCACCCGTTTTCTTGAAAGGTGCCATAGGTGCGACTGGTGCGCGCTTCTGAGCCATTGAAGGGCCTCCCTCCGGCGACTTGGTTGCTGGGCGCTTACGCGGATCGCCGTCAAAGGCCATGGTAATGCTTCTGTGACGGAGTTAGTCAGCAGTCTTTCTTAGCAGATGTGGGTGAGAAGGGTTGTTACTACCAGTCGTTTTGTCGTTATTGTGGTTGAAAGTCAAGGTGAAGTTGCGATTTGAACGTTTAGGTCGCTAGACAAAATAAGCTTCACGCTAACATGGAGCTACCAGGCCTGAGGCAAGAACGAATGCCAGGGATCCGCTTTCACATGCATCGTCAAGCCTTCTGCGCTCTGTCGAGTGTCCAAGGCAGTGAAGCACAATCCGAACTTAGTCGCAGAATCAACACCAAATTCTAGTCGCTCGTGGTTGGCCTCAACACCAACTCAAGAAGCTTCCATTAATGATGCTTAAACGTAAAGTTCTCCATTATAAAACTTCAATTCCGCTTTGACAAGGGCATTGGAACTTCTCGCATCTGCACGCTCTCAGACCTGCTCTAGAAGATCGCTACATCCTCAAGCACAGCCGCCTGCTCCAACGGTGTCAGATGCTTAATGCCCATCGCTGCGTCCGCGATGCTATTATATGCCCACTGTGTCTTCGCAAAGTAAGCGAATGGAAGAGAAGCAGGTAGTTCAGGCACTCCAAAGATGACTCCGAATTGGTCAGTCAGCCATTCCTTAGCCTCCTGCTGCCGAAACCAAGCATCGTCAGACAAGAGAACCTCGATTGAGTACTCATCCTCAGAGTCCTGTGCGCCATGCTGAGGATCAGCTTCGTCTTCCTCGGCTTCAATCTCTTCGTCTTGCTCGAAGATAGCGAATCGATTGGTGGACTGGTTCACTTTCGCCTGTCCACTCTTGACTCGGTCCGCAGCTCGCGCGTGCGCAGTCGCATCTTCATTGCTCTCCTCATTGGCAGCCTCAAGACGTTTGCTGGCGCGGCGCTTCGCGAGCTTGAGGCTCATTTCCTTCTCCGAGCCTTTGATCTGCAGCCAATCCTTTGGTGCGTCGTAGTGACAGCAGATGGCATACTCGCAGGCCTCTTCGAAAGGCGCAGAGTCCGAAAAGATTCCAGCAGCGACACGCTCAACAATGAAGTTTACATGCTCGGTAGAACTCAGGCGCATCACTGACATGGTCTCAGGACTAGATAGAGATTGTGTCCAGGTTTCAAGGATTCCCTTCTTGAAATTCTTGTTGACGTGATACATTATATGGATGCTGTGTATGGCCACGATCGCGTGGAAAATGCTGTTAATCGCGTCGCCGTGTGATTCCGCATCTTGTCCCTGACTGCCTGGATGCTTGGTCCACCAGTGCTCGGCGAACATTTGATGGAGCATAGAGTAGTCGAAGCAAAATACCCTGGACAGACCACGGTACTTGTTGAACGCGACAAGTGCATTTAGGAAACCGCATGGGTTGCCATCCTCATCCACCGCATCAATGTCGTAGTCAGAAGTAAGGCTGACAACACGCTCTAGCTCGCGCTGCTTCATTGAGATGATGACTTCAGATGAGATGGCTTGGTTCTCCTCGAGGTCGATGAGTCGCTGCATGTAGCTGTTGACCTGGCGACATTTTAGGATCTCGGCCACGTTTGGCAGGCAGGACAAAATATGAAGCTGGAGCTCCGGTGCGAGACGCTCGACAAAGGAAGACGGCTTGATCGATGCTTTGGCAGGATTGTTGTCCATGCTGTTGTACGGCGATAGGGTCTCAGGAGCTTGGTGTCTGGTCGGTTCGAGTCAAATTGTTTGCCGCGATTGTTGATGCGGCAAATGCTGGTGATGCTGTCGAGATTTTCAAATAACAGTGAAGAGTTAAGCTTTGAGCTCAGAAACAGGACTCGCATCAGCGACATGCAATCAGTCAAGTCAGCATTTTGTGCACCACTCACTTAGAGCGGTCACAAGGAATTCATGTCAGTGTTCACCTGTTTTACAGGGGCGCCTTTAGAGCAATCAGGTGCATTGCATTGCATATGCTCGTTACAGCAAAGTCGAAGTTGCCAGCGAAACACAGCTGCGATTGCTATACATGATCTTGGCCTTCGTCCAAAGTCTTCGGAGCGTGATAGATGCATCTTCGCCATTCTATGTGCTTCGAAACAATAAGCAGATTCCAAGAAGAATGACAACAGAAGGCCTTGAGGCCGGTTCCAGCGTGCGTATGCCTCTCCGAGATGCGGTGGAGGCCTCAAATGCCTAGACCTGGTTGATCGAGCACGATGCTAGACAGGATGCACGAAGATACGCACAGCCTGTGAGACTGTCCACCTAAAATGTATGATCTCATCACGTAGGAGAGATGATGTGCCACAATGGTAGACGACCGAGTATTTGTAAACACAACATTTTTGCAGGTGGCTGTTTCCAATCGCCGCCGTCTTACGTGCTTGTTGCAAGGCTGATGAGAGGCTTGAGCGAGTGTTTGTAGGAGGCAGCGCGCTATGTAATGTGTAGCTTTTTCGAGGTGACACACATAAGTCTCCGGTATTGTTTACTCTGGATACCTCTATGAACTCGATGCGTAGACCGGCACGTGAGGGACATTGTGTCCACGTATACTCACTAGCCCAACGTGAGTCATGGGTTGGACGATGAAGCAACCCAGCCATTATCGTCTCTATTTCAAAAGCAGGGCACGCAAGGAAGGCAAGCATGCCCATGTTGGCTGAGCATATTCGATGCTCTTCTTCTCTCAGTCGGCCATCCTGCTGAAGCTGAATTGCTACAATCAACGTTCACTCCGATAAGAGCAGCGTTTGTGTGTATTTTCGAGTGCTTCGAGCCTAGGATCGGCACAGCACCAGCGCTGTTCATCCAAATTGCATTTTGCTTGCCACCAACGCCGCGCTAAGAGCATGATAATTACGCCACTCAGTATCGATGGCCCCCAAGTGGTATTTCTGCATTCCAGTCGGTTTCTTCTTGCCTGAAGCTTGCCACTGGTATGTAGTTAGGATCGTCGTTCTCCTTGTCTGTCATCCAGCGCGGAGTAGCAGACTCATGACGATCATACTCCTAATATGGCCGTCCTCGTCCACTTCCGTAACCTCCACCGCCATATCCTCCGCCTCCATAGCCCCCAGATGGCGGTGGACGCTCGCCACGTCTCCAGTCTCCAGGTGGAGGCGGTGCACCAAAGCCACCACCACCACCACCACGACCTCCATAGCCTCCTCTGTAACCTCCTCCACCTCTGCCATACCCACCGTATCCATTCTCTCGAGGGGGAGGAGGACCTCTAGGCGGACCGCCAAAGTCTCGTGGCGGCGGACCTCTACTTGACGCAGGCATGGGAGCCACGCGCCCATCTGCTCCAGGAGGATATATTGAGCAAGCAATGTAGTCGCCAATGACGAATCGCGCTGCCGCGAGTGTCTTGGCTGCATCTCCTTCCAAACCCTTTCCATTCATGTCATCTTCATCATTCAGTTCGGCCCCGCTGCTTCCAATCACCACACTTCCCAGTGGCTTGTCTATCCATTTTCCTCTTCCACCTTCTACTAATGTCGCGCGCGTATCCGGGAATACAAGCTTAAATACAAGCCTTGTACCAGTCGCTGGACTCGGCATTACATTGGCTGGTAATACGCTTGTGAAGAGCGACGTGAGCTCTCCGAGGGTGCAGTTGGGCCATGTGTAGATCTGCACACTTTGGGAGCGGATTTGTGAGGGTAAAAGCGAGGAGTAGTCGGGAATACCAGTCGTATCTGCCGGAGGCGCAACAGAAAACTCCCAAGGATCGTGAGGTCGAGACTGGCGCCAGAAGAGTCGGAGGAGGAAGGGTGCTGTCGTGGAGCGATCGATGTTCGTGTTCGCGTCGGGTTGCAGTGCCATAGTTGAGTGTTTTTGCGAGTCTCGTCAATATTCACTGATCACCCTGCCGCGCCCTCCAAGAGCTCAAGCGGATCTCCAATGTCTGTGTGTCCGCTTTGAAGCTTGTTGTGTTTCGGGATATATTTTGAGGTTGATGTCAAGCTGCAGGAAGCTTTGACTTGACTGCCGTTCCGTTGCACCTGCCAGTCCGGACCTAATCAAATCTTTCATGTGATTTTCAGCCAATCTACTCACTTCACGGACACAGCTCCGCCGTCTCTTCGCGCTCTCGAATCAGTCTCGATCCACTTTCAAGACACTCTGAGAGAACATCATTTTTAGCGCCGCCATGGACTTCGCCTCGCTAATGAAGTCGCAGATTGCGTCTTCAAGCAGCAAATCGGATTCCAGTGAGAAGAAATACCTCAAACGCTCAGAAGTGGAAGCACGGCGGCAAGCAGAATACCAGCGCGAGCAGGAGCGTGCTGAGCAGGAGCGTCTTGAACGAGTAGAGAAGAAGAGAAAGCGCGAAGAAGATGAAGCTGAACGAAATCGCGCTCGCGAAGAGAAGAAGCGAAGATTAGCAGAGGAGAGCAAGCGCATACAGCAGGAGGAGGCAGAGGCAGAGGAGAGAGCGCGGCGGAAGAGACTGGGCTTGCCAGAGCTTCCCAAGGCAGACATCCAAGAGCCAAATCTACTGAAGGACGGGGAGGAAGACATCTCGGAAGAAGATCTGCTGGTCAAACTGCAGGAGCTGGGTGAGCCGCGATTCCTCTTCGGTGAGGAGCACGTCCAGCGACTGCGTCGGTATCGCAAGCTTATGGAGAAAGCACTTGCGCCGAAGCTCACAAGTGGACCTATACCGACGACTTTGGAGCTTGTGGAAGAAAAGGACATGAAAGTGCCCGAGACAGTACCGAAAGACCCAGAACAGTACAAGTTCCTGCTTCGTCAGTTGGGAAGCTATTTTGATATGGTCCTCTCGGAATGGCAATCTGCTCTTGCTCGTCGTTCGAAAGAAGTCAAGGAGTCTAGTACTGGAAAGCAAGCCTTGAACTCCTTTATCGCAGCTCGAGACAATTTGCGGCCGCTGTTCAAAAAGCTTGAGACCAACACTATCGAGCCGAAACTTCTCTCTGCTGTCCTCGAAATTGCAAATCTGGCCCAGCTCAAACGATACGTGCATGCAAATGATGCATATTTGCGGCTCTCAATCGGCAAAGCTGCTTGGCCTATTGGTGTGACCATGGTTGGTATTCACGAGAGGAGTGCGCGAGAGAAGTTGCATGAGACGGAGAACCAGGCACACATTCTAACAGACGAGACCACAAGAAAGATGCTTCAAGGTATCAAGAGGTGTCTGAGTTTTGCGCAGACCCGCTGGCCTCCCGACGACATCGGGCAGCTGATGGGTTAGCAGATTTGTTGCAAGCAGACGACAAGCACGCAGGTGTTACCAAAACCATCCAACTGTGTCGATGGCGAGGCGCCTTCGATATAGCTCTGAGATACTCGTTGAGATGAGATTGACTGAATTTTGCGACTCATACACTGAAAAGCTTAGAATTTTGGAGATACAGCAAGCTGAGCACACGTAGCGTGGCTCTGAATTTCGCATACTCCCAGTGCTCCCGCTAACTGCTTTGAAAGTGATCCTGGGAGGTAGGGCAATGCCAGCTCTTAAGGTACGGTAAACCCTGCGCTAGCATGTGAAAAAATCGCGTTGGCCGAAGGAGATCCAGGCCAGCGTTGATCGTATTTCTTCGCCAAATTTGGCATAGCTTCTCATCCCGAAGACTACCTGCGATACGAGCTTGCCTCTATGCTTTTCTAATGCCAAACACCATTGCCATCATCATGAACAGTAGTCCTCAGCCTGTCATGCTAACTGCTTGTGCAACCTTCAGATCTGCACCAGGTGTACTCTATATATCCCGCACAAGCTTTGGACCAGGCTGAGCATTGAAATTCCCTCATCGTCTCCACTGAGACTTAGCATGGCCGACACACCTATCAAGCGTCGTCGGGGAAATGCAAAGAGCCGGGGAGGGTGCTCAAGATGCAAATCCCAGCACTTGAAGTGCGACGAGCAGAAACCAAGTTGTGGGCGATGCACTCGACTTGGTGTTCGATGTCCAGGTTACGTTCAGCAGCTTAAATGGTTGACGAAGCATGAACACAACGAAGGAGGCGTAAAGAATACAGCTGAGCCGACACCTTCGAATCTCTTGAGCGAAACAGTGCTGTCTCCTCTTCCGACATTGGCCAGCCTCGACTGGCTGAGCCTGACGCCTCCTCTAGAGTCCCTGCACGATCCACAACCTGACGACCCCGTGCTTGACGTTCCCGGCCCTTCAAACTGGTCAGCGACTGCGCAGCCTGCTCCGGTAGAGATGAACTGGGATCAGAACATGCCCTTTACAAATCTGGAGCAGATCACAGAGGCACGTGAGTCGGAAGAAAAGCAGATATCTCGGCCGCGGAAACGAAGCCTGCTGCAAGCGCTACAGGGCAGTTCAGGAGACCTCATTATTCCACGGCCACAGCGCTCCTTGACCCATGAATCGACCGACCTCATGTCTCACTATTTTAAAGAAGTAACGCGAATGTACGCGATGTACGACGATCATCGAAACCCCTTCCGATCCGTCGTATCAAGTGTCTATAGCCACTCGCTTGTGATCAATCTTGCAGCGCAGAGCATGGCTGCGGCGTTTCTGGCAGCAGCACATCCAAGATTCAGCGCCATCGGTCGGAGGCTTCGAGGGCAAGCCATGGAGATTGTGAGCAGCGAGGCAGTCCTTGATCACCGAGCTCTCCTTGCATTGATGATGTTCGGCCCCACTGGTAATTGGCATGACACTAGCGACCTTGGAGTTGGCTTCTACAATCTGATGCGGGATCGAATCGATTCTATGGCTCTGTCTGGAGAGCTCGCCCTGCACGAGAAAAGTATAAACAGCTTCAACTTCTTCCGAGAGGCAATGATCCACTGGGAGATGCTATTGGTCTTCGCAGTAGACAGCGATAGGATGCGGCCATGCAAATCACCTATCGGACCTGTCATCGAACTGTCTCCAAACAAGCGTATCCCGCATCCTTGGACTGGGGTTGGTCGTGACATAATTCAAGTGTGTGCCGATATTGGCAGACTTGTTCGCAGTCACCGCGTCCGACACCAGACCCAGCAATTCGTCACCCAAGCATACATTGCTAACATGCGAGATGACCTGGAATCTGCGAGGGCTTTAGAGAGCCGGTTGCTAGCTTGCAAGACGCCAGACGCCGCTACGATCCTAGAGCCCGATGACCCAGGCACACCTGTCTGGCACATGACGACTCTAGCCGAAGTGTACCGCTATGCTGGCCTCTTGCAGCTCTATCGTGTCTTCCCTGATGCCTTGTTAGAGCGCTTGTGTAGCGAAGAACCTGACTCTCTAACGATTTTGAGCGAAGATGATCGAGAGACCGATCGAGGACGTTGCAATCGATGGCTGACCGCATTCAGTCTCGAGGCTCTTCGTTTGTTGCAAACAATCCCTCTGGAATCGGGCACTCGTGACTTTCAACCTTTTCTACTCGTTGCGCTCTCCAGCGAACTGGTCTGCGATCGGTGGCAAATCTCTCCTGGTGCGAACTTTGATGATATGGGCGGCAAGAATATGGACACGGAGTTCGTTGAAGTTTCCATGATGCGAAAATTCGTTCTTGATCGCCTGATACACTGCTTGAGACTCCTTCCTCCAAAGCCAATTCGCGTCGCTTTAGATATCGTCAAAGAGACTTGGCGTCGAACCGACAGTGGATTACGAGATGTCTACTGGCTGGATGTGATGATGCAGAATGGCTGGGAAACTATACTAGCGTGAGCGAGGTCTTTCAGTCCATTCTTCAATGCGGAATCTGCGAATCTGCGACATTCAGAACCAATTGGGCACACTGGCGCTCATAGCCAGAAACACGGCAGCCTGCACAGGGCGCAATACCACTGTGCTTCAAAACTTTTGCGTATGGCTATTGTGGATTCGCTCCGCCATTCCATTGCGCCCAATCCTGGTCTCCGTTGACCTGCAGCCACCAATCCGTCTGAGCAATACTGTCAAAATTCGCGCTCGCACTGTTGGGCACGTCGCTTGGGAAAGTGTCCCACATCAGGTCATCCCAAAACTCGTTCATGTCAGCTTCCCAGTTGGGACTGCTTCCCCACCCATTATTCATAAAGCTCACGATGTCTGGACCAGCATAGGGAAGACCATTAGGATATTGAACAGGAACTTCAGCAGGCGGCTCTGCCGTGGGCTGCGCGGCATATGAGGACGTATCCGGATCGACCATAGAAATGCGTCCCTGGAACATCTCTTGTTGCTGCTGATGATATCGTGCGTTGTGCTCGGCAACATATTTTGTCGCATCGTGCAGATTTTGGACGACATCTCTGCTCTTCTTGGCAGCGATAGACCAGGGTTGCATTCTGTCGAAGAATGCTATTGATCTTTCGATGTCACGGTGCCATCGCTCGATGTCGTCGTCGCTTCCAGGCGTCACTAAAGAGCTATCGCTTCCTGGTGTACGCAAAGGACTTTCGCCGACTGTGGGATTAGGAGGCATTGACAGCACCGAAAATAGCGAGAGCAGAGGCACCATTACAGCCTGGTACATCATCCAGACGCCATTCCAGCCAGCGATCAAGTCGTCTTTACAAGTGGCATCAATATCAACAATGGCTTGGCTCGCAACAATTCTGCATCTTCCGACCGCCAATCTCTCGTCAGATGACATGTTGGTCCAAGCTGTACGTTTTAGCGCCGTCGTAAGCAGCACTGGCCGATGCATGAGAAGCTTCAAATTTTGATATCGCCATAGCATGATGGCTCTGGGGGTCTTCAACACCTCTGGACATGCTGTCTTGTCCCGATCCGGCGGCTGCGAGAAGTCAAATGGGTTCGTGTTAGATGCCGTGGATGTTGCTGGCTTTGGCGAGATTTGTCCGTGGTCTCCGGAGCTCTGTCGCTTCTTCAGCTGTGGCCTGTCGAGCACATCGTGCAGGATCGGAGGTAATTCATCGTGCCATCTCTCGAGCTCCGCGTCCAGCGCGAATAGCTCTTCAAACGGAATGAAAGACTTCTCAGCCAGGATATCTTGCACTTTGGTCGCAATCTTGCAGAATGTGATGTTGTATATTATCGGCAGTAGCCGTAGCGAAGCCAAATACTGCGCGTTGTTCATCTGCTCGGGAATCCTCGGATGCTGCACAGTGATCCGGCCAGTTCTCCCGAGACTAGGCCTCCCGGTAGTGATGCCGGCCCAAGAATCCAGGATGTATAGGCTCCACCAGGTTCTCCTCCGGATCTCGACAGGAACCTCCGAATTGCTCAAGACTACGCAACCACTTCCGCCAGAGTTATTATTCTTATCGGTTCGTCTGCTTTCGCTGTATTCTCGGTGCAGGCCATGCGCAGTGGCCATTCGCAGGGTGGCACCCATGATGCCATTGGCCTCGTTAGGCCTGTTCAGCCAGTGCAGATAGTATCCACTGAGCAATCCGAAGGCCTGCAAGACGTACAGACTCCCGCTTCCGAACGTTTCCACTTCCATATGCTTCCGGGCTCGCTGATAGAATGCCATGTGCTCTTGGTTGTCACATGTCGAACTGGCGAGGCATCCCAGTGCAAAGACCATGTTGAGTAGGGTCAGCCAAGGAGAGTCCCTTCGTGAAGCGTACAGATAGCTTTGTCGAAAGTGGTCCTCGTCGATCATGGGCATGAGTACGTGTATGTGAGCGAAGTAAGAGTCGATCATTTTCTCACCAATGTCGGCAGGAGGAAGATAATGTGGATCTGGGTCGAGGCTGTATGGAGGTGGCGTGGAGCTCCGACTCGGTTCAGCAGATTCATCTTCTTGTGCCTGGAGCAAGAACGATCGAGCCATTGGCGCAGTCTTGAACATGACTTTCATGGCCGCGTTGATCGAAGATACGCCAACGTATGAGGATGCTTGATCGACGGCGAGAGAGAGCGCGTTCACGTCGTCAGATATGCCCTGGATCTTGTCCTTGAGTCGCTTGACCTCGTCCGTCGCTGGATCTAGCTCTGGCGCTTGCTCCAACCCTTCGAGACTATCGGCTCCATCCGACTTTCGCAATGGGTCTTCGGACACGCCGGGCAGGGCATCTGGTGTATGAGCAGGAGAAGTAGCCGTAGCTGGCAAGGTCACCGCAAGGTTGATCAACTCCGTGCGTGGCAAGGAGACGAAGTGCTCAAGCTCTTTTCCAGGGAAGAGCTTTGCAAAGACAGCATGATACTGATCGACTTGAGTCTGCAGTTTATCGAGCAGCCTGGCGGTAGGCGTCAGTCACGAATGGCAGCAGCTCCACTGCTCGAACTCACTTTCGAGAGGGGGCGATTCTCTGTGCCGGCTTCGAATAGGCGCACAATTCTGGGTGTTGATACCAGTGGCACTGACCGCAAGGCTGCGCACCATCGCATCGTATCTTTCGTCGTCGACACTCGACACATGCGTTGCTCGTGGAGATCCTTCTGGAGCCACCCGGGCGTCCTTTGCCGCCTTCGCCGCCATCTATGGAGTTGGAGCTGGTCGCGGCCTGGAAGGTGTGGTACATGGTGCGGGTTGGGCCTCATGACATTCTCCGCTCACGGGGAGGAGGGCAGAAGTGGTGGACGGTCTCGGGAACTTGGCCTGGTTAGCCACGAGGACCACGCTAAGCCGCGACAGGCACAGGCACATGGCATTGCGTAGGCTGAGCGAGGCGAGGCGAGGTGAGGTGCTGTGCGAGGCGAGGCAGACCCTGCACGGTTATAATTGTCTGTTGGACATGCTGCTGACTTATTATTAGTGCTGAGAACCCCGCCTTGGAAGTGTGCAGCAGACGCTAGCCTATTCTAGCGTTGCACCGGCCATCTCGGGCCCTCGGCAAAGCGTCCGGCTAGTTCCATTCTAGCTAAATTTTAGAAGGTGATTAGGCGAGCATTTGATGTCGCCTGGCCCAAATCGGCTGCACGTCCGACCGGCAGCTGAGCCAGAGCCATGCACCGCTCTCGTCATGCGGCCCCGAGATACGTCCACTTCAAAGCCTGATCGTGCGCTCCAAGACCTCGAACCGTGACGACCTGCTCGTCTCCGGGCACCACGTCGATGGCACTGTCATCGACAAGAATGCCTTCTCTCTCCTCGAACACGAGTCCTTTGGTTGGCTTGCCCGCGCTGATGACCATCTTGTCGCCTGCCGGCATCACATCCACCTCCCGACCGGAGAAGTCAAGGTATTTCAGAGGCTGCGGCCAGTCCACGTCTCGCGACACTATTTCGCCCTCCACCCATATACGTGCGGCAAGGACATGCGGCTCTTCCTGCACGTTGTCAATGGTGCCCTTCAAGATCTCCGTCGTTCCATTTGCACCGATCGTGACGTCCGTTTTGACACATCTGTCTTTGATGTCCTTGCCACTTGCAATACTGATGTACCGCACCTCAATCGTCGCTTGCACATCACTCGTCTTGGAGCTGGCAACCCAACACTCATAGCGAAGACGTTTTGCAGGCCGTGCATGGACGACACTCCAGTCGTGATGCTCACGCTTGACAGCAACGGCGATTGGCGCCAATGCTCGGCGGACGGCATAGTACGCCGGCTTCTTGCGGAGGAAGTAGTCTACGATGGACCACGATGTTACCGGCCAACAGTCATTGAGCTGCCATAGCAGAGCGCCGCCGCAGAAGCGCTTCTGGCCCCATTGCTGCCGCCAGCCTCGATATCCGAACATCAGCGCCTCTGCCTGACTGAGCTGCGTCAGATGGATGTACTTCTCAAGATCCGTTGCCGTCCGAAAATTTTCAACCAGGTAAGTTGCGATTCGTCGTTCATGTCCATCGGCCTTGTTGTGGAAGTCGATCATATGGCTCTGTGGGTACAACTGCGTCGCATCGGTGACGTACCATTTGATTGTGTCGATGTGCGGGAAGGCTTCCATGCCAAACTCGCTGTTGAATCGTCCGCCCAGCGTATCGAAGATTTGGTATTTCTCTTGCGTGCCATGCCAGACATTCCACTGGTGCATGTCCCCGACCGTCGGGTCTGAGCTGATCTTACCGTCCCCCCATGGCGATCCTGGATGGTACGGGACGTGCGGCACGTGAGCTGCTACTACTTCCGGGAGCAGCTTCTCGTATATGTAGCGAGCTGGGAAGTCCGACTGAAGCCAACTCTCGGGATTCTTGTCTTCGTAGTCGTAGGTCAGGCCGAGCTGCTCTTGTACCTGGTAGTCTTCGTTGTTGCCAGCATAGATCACAATGGAAGGATGGTGTCGTAACCGTTTGGTTTGACATATGCATTCTGCCTCGATCGACTTCAAAATCTCGGGAAAGCAGGGATAGTTGCCACAGCCGAACATGAAATCTTGCCACACAAGAACGCCGAGTTCGTCGCAAGTCTCGTAGAAGATGTCCTCTTCCCAAATGCCACCGCCCCATATTCGAATCATTAGTTGATAGCCATCGACCATCATCTCGAGCCATCTTCTGTACCGTTCTTTCGAGATTCGTGGCGTGAAGCTGTCCGCAGGAATCCAGTCTGAGCCTCCGCAAAAGACATCAATGCCATTGATGCGAAAGTAGAATGTCTTTCCAATGTCATCTGGTTCCTGTATTAGTTCACCCTTGCGAAACCCCGTTTTTCTGCCTAGCGTATGGAGCTCATGATCAGCAGCCGTGACCTTGGCAGTGACGGTGTAGAGCGGCTGTTCGCCATATCCATGAGGATACCAAAGCTTCGGTTCTGGGAGGTGGAAGTTGATTTTTGCAAGGCCGCTTTCATTCGGCGTCGCGACTGCACAGAACACCTCTCTCCCGTCAAAAGAGATGCTGAAATGGACGGCGTCTCCGGAATCGCCGTCGATCGTTGCTGTGATGCTTCCGGAAACACTCTGAAACAAGGCATCGATGTCATAATCGACTCTGATGTCGGCCACGCGAGCTTGATATGTTTCGAGGCGCACAGCACGCCATGGCCCACATGGAGATAAGACTGGACCCCAGTCCCAACCCCAGTGGTACTGAGCTTTTCGCACTGCAAGCCGAGCCATATCACCATTAAAGCCAACCCATTTATGCTCTGGATGCGCGTCTTTTATCTTACGGGCTTCCAGCATGGCTGATTTGAACTCAATCTCCAGTGTTGTGGCTGCGTCGAATCTCAGGTCTTGCGTTACATCGACACGATGCATGATCCACATGTTGTCGCTCTCGAGGATGATCTTGCCGTCTAGCTTGACCGTGGCGAAGGTGTCGAGTCCATCAAAAGCCAGAACATGTCTTGTGCCAGCCTCAGCTCTGGCTGGCGCGGGGATTTGGACTTTATAAGTCCATGACTTCTCGCCAACCCACTCGCATTTGAGCTCATTGAAGCCCAGGAAGGGATCCTCGATTCTGTGGTATAGGTCAGCGGGCCTGAGTCACACAAACATGGACCTGCAGACTTCTTGTGGGCAAGCAGATCGAGATGCACATTCGTTGGCACCCTTGAGACGGGGAGCCATTCTTCATCAGAGTGCGTCTGCTTGAACGACCAGCCTTCCGCAAGCTCGATCGTCTTCATAGCTCTCGCCATCTTGCCGCGATAAAATCAGGAGATCTGTCAGCGGCCGGGCAGGATGATGATGACGACGACGACGACGACGATGGTGGTGGTGGTGGTGGTGATGATGTTTGCGATATATGCGGACGGACGTGGGCAGGGCAGGAACCTGGCCGGGCTGTCCCACTCGCCTTTACAATGGCCAGGCCAGGCACACCAGGTACGCGGCACCGTGCCCACTGCGATTGAAGGACGAGTCTCTCCGCGTCGAAAAGAGTTTGGTTGCGCCAAGCCTGGAGCCTTGTGCGACTCATCAAATATTGATTCTGCCAATCGAAGCCATAGTACCTGCCCAGTGTGACATCTAGCCTAGCGCTCTCGTTGCAGAAAAACCATCGCCTCTGACGGCGATCGACAAAACGTGAATTGCGATGCCACGCTCAGTCGAATGCACTTCGTTTCGCTGGTGATATTTTACGCTGTCTCATTACAACTTTGGGGCCTCCGCTTGCACCGGAGGCTCATCTGCCTGCTTGCTAGCGCCAGGCTCGTTGTTCTGCCTCCCAGCCGTCTCTTCAGCGGCTTGCTGCTGAAGCCGTGATTTCTTCCTCTGTGCTAAACTCCTGTTATTCTTACGAGTCACCTCTGCCACTAATCGTTCCGCGATTCTCTTGACGACTTTGCCTCTTGCTACCTTCGCGGCCATCTCTTCCGGCGTCTCTTTCGGACTTGTATCAACCATGCCTCTGAGCTGCCTGACATCATCGACAGGCTCGTCGTCTGGTTTCGGTGCAATATGCCGCACAAATCCTATCCGGTCGTGTTTCACGCCGTCGGGCCATCTTTCTGCGAACTCTGCATCTAGCGTGTTGGCCCACTTGACTGTAATGTCTTGAATAGTGAAAATGTGCTGCCTGAAGAGCTTGACTAGCATCTTTTGTGTCCTGTTTTCTGGCTGGAGCGCAGAGTGTTTCCCAATAGGCAATCCAGCTTTTGCAGCGGCGATAGGATCGAGCTCAGCTGGGAAGTCGGGGAGGTATTGGCGGTAGTCGATCTCCTTGACTGGAGTTTGTTCAGTTAGAGATGAGTTCTCAGCATGAGCACCCTCCTCGGCAGTGCCCGGCTTCGCTGTCTGTGGTGACTCTGCCGCTCTTCGCCTTCGCTGTTCCTGCTGTTCCTGCTGTTCCTGCTGTTCGAATGCCGCACGAGCCTTGGCATCTGCGACCTGAGCGGCACTCCACTCCATCCTCCGAATCTGCAACTGGATCTTTTCGACATCTCTACGTGTATGTAATGCTTTTTGGAACGCACTTCTTCGTTCCTTGGACTTTTTGTCCTTGTTCTGCGCTTCCTGCCCGGCCTCTGCCACGACAGCCTCCATAGCTGGGATCTTGGCCTTCAACTCATTCGCCTCCGTGGCATTCCGTTCTGCTAAGCTGATGATGGTGTCCTGATCCTCCTTCTTTTGCTGGTCGAGAGCCAGTTCTCGCTTTCCACTGATTGCAACTCCCTTGTCTTCTTGCCGTAATAAGATTGCAGCCAGGTCTGCAATTGAATTTGCTTTCTGATCCATCACCATTCTCACGCGCATCTTCCATTTCTTGCGCTTGATTATGTCGTAAACGGTCTCCTTCTTGCTACCGCCTCGATTGTCCAACTTGTACCTCATACGTTCGATCTCCTTCTCGGTGTACGGCCGCTTCATCTCCTCAGGAATCTCCCAGTTGGTCTCGTGCAGCACACGATACTCGCGCAGCTGCCGAAAGACTTGCAGGCCTAGTCTCTTACCATCGCGCGAGTTGGGGAGTGACACCATCCACAACGGGCGCCAGATGTCTTTTCGAAGTTTGGGCGGATTATTGTTGGCGCCCACATCTGCGAGCTGTTTCAAGTGCGAATTCTGTGTCGCAGTCAGCGGGTCACCCTCATAGTGCCACCGTGCACACATACACGCAGAACCCGTTCCAGCGAGTAGAGGACCTGGTTTGTCCTGACATTGCAGTAGGCGTAAATGTGCCTCCCGTGCTGGCCTCCAAGCCCGCCATACCATGTCCGCCGCATTATGGATGATCGAGGCTATTGGTGCCTCTGACACATCGTTTCAATGATTTGCACAGTGGCTGAAGTACTCGAAGATTGGAGCGTTCGGAGGTGTACAGTAGCATCAAAGCACGCGCTCTGCCAAGCATCACTCCCGAACTCTCCGCAACAGAGGAGATGGGAGATTGGTGCCAGCGCCATCCGCCGCAGCACTCCACGATCACTTCGCATGGAATACAGAACAGATCGCAATAGCACTGGCTTGGATATCTTGATGGAAAGAAGCACTGCCCTCCTACACCTCCGGCGTACCGCCACCTTCGAAGGCTGCCTTGCGCCCGTCTGCCTCAGTCGCCTCCATCGATACCTGGCCTGGCCTGAGGACGCACCTGATATATATCGGATCTTCCGATACACGAGACGGCTGCATCGGCACGAGACTAGAAGATGCGGGCCGTGACATGGTATCGCAGGAGAGCGAATGGCACAGTATTGAAGCTCGTACTTGGGCAGCGTCTGCCGTTGCTACAAGCTAAGCTGATGATGCCTTCGTGCTTGTTTGCTTTGAAGTGAAGAACAGTAGGTCGAAAGTGCTTCGTTGGAATCTTACTGACTCCCGACGATACAGTGCTAGAGCGCAGAGGCCAATGTGTAGACTCTCGGGCGTGCTGAGCACAAGCAATATCAGCCTATAAGAGTGGATGGCCTGGAATGATCGGCTAGAGTGCACCTCGTTACTGTAGCCGGTCCATACTTAAGTTAGGCGACGGCCTTTCGTGCGGCCTTCTTAAGTTCTTATCAGCGCGCTCATCCTAGCACCTTGACTCGCCAGCGGTTACGGCCTGGCCGCCTGAGTCACTCATACCGTGACCGACATCACCGCTTACGGCTGATTCCCATGACGGTTTGGATCAACGGCTCGACGATATGATGCTTGTTCAAGCACTTCAGCTTCAAGAGCTTTCAGCGGGGAGTTTCGGAGTACTCGTGCTCTGTCCAGTCTTGTTAGCTTCTTCAACTCGGACTTTACCCTTCGACTCGCCGGGACAGACAGGCATTCGAGGTGTCTGGACTCTGAAGGCTGAAGATCCGGCCTAGCTCGAAAGTATAACGCAAACATCCGAGTGACGAACCTCCCCGCTACAGCCTTTGCAGCCTTTGCAAGTTGCAACATATGCCGCACGGACTGAATTCCCACAGACTAGGGTGTGACTTTATGCTGTCTATCGTATCTGTCAGTCACATTATGCCGAACCTCAAGCAGATGAAGATTGTCGGTCATGGACGGCAATGATGGAAGTAGGACTTCGGGCACGAAAGGCCGGTTCATGCATTGAGCGAGGATATCCTTTCCAGGTTCTTCTCGGCTCAAGAAGCTGTATCAACAACTGCCAACAAGATTAACTTTCGCAGTCTGTATTCTACATACATACAACAGCGAACTGTAATAATAATAATAACAACACGCAAGTTGCCACGGGCAAGCAATAGCCGTGCCAACCCAGTCCGGCCACTTAAGAAAAGACTCAAGAGGCAACTACCGATTGATACCTCTGCAGACTTGCATCGAGAAGGATGTATCCGCATCGTCAGAGTTCGTCCAAGAGCGAAGGTATATACCTACCAAATGCGTCGAGCTCCAGAGCTTTGCATCTGCAGCGATCTTCCATCTCTATCGCTCGTCCTGTGCAAGAGAAGACACAGTCTGCTCTGCAAACATGCGTCTCCTCTACGGTGCGGCTATCCTACTACTGCCATGGACAGCAGCAAGGCCTGGCAACAGCCCGCCAGCAACTCCAGGCTCTTACAAATCTCCGCCTTCACCGCCGCATCCATTGACATACGGTCCTCCCATGCCTCCGCCACCACCTCCGGTCTGTGCTTAACCGCAAGTTCTCGAACTTGGCTAATTTTCTCAGGCACATAACATGACCAACGCGACCTGCACCAACATGAAGATGAACGCCACAAGCAGCGCAAACAATTACACAACGCCTTTGCCTCCATGTAGTAACAGTACCAATGCAACATTACAAAGTCCGCCACCCGGAGCAACCAATAACAAGCGCCCTCCGCCTCCACCATACATGACTTATCGTCCGAAGACGACGAACACAACTAATACCACATTGCCTTCACCCCGGCCTTATGGCCAAAATGCGACAAATACGACAACGCCGCCGCCTCCTCCGCCTCCGCCTTCATACCTGACCTATAGTTATAACACAACTAACATGACCAACAATACGATCCCAGCTCCTCCACCACATGGTTCCAATGTGACTAATATTACGGCGCCTCCAGTCCCTGGTCCGTATGGTGGTAATATGACGAACATGACTAGAACACCAATGCCAAAAATAAAGACCCCGACTCCGCCTTACAAGATGAACACTACAACAAATTTGACCCACTGTGTGATTGGAGCGGCGACTACGATTGAACAGGCCACTCTCTTTAGTGAATTTGTACATCTCATCTGGAAAAGGTCAGACATGAAGGAAGCGCTTATGAAGTACGTTTCCAAGGATTTGATCAAGCACGATTGCGATTCCAAAGGAGACACGGCTTGGATGTCGACCAAGCTGGCGCCTCCAGGAAAGACGGTGGTAGAGCGAATAGCATTTGATGGCGGGGCGGGATGGGTGCATTCGGTGTCGAGTGGTGAGGATATGACGGCGTACGTCGACATCTATCGTTTTGAGGGTACTTGCATTGTGGAGCATTGGAATCTGGCCCAGAAGAGGACGAATTGTACGAAGTCTTAGACAAAGCAACAGCAAACGGAACAGCGATCATGATGAGATGTTGGAACATGGAGTTGATACCCTCTTTTAGACTACCCTCTTTTAGACTACCCTCTTTTAGACTACCCTCTTTCAGACTACCCTCTTTTAGACTACCCTCTTTTAGACTACCCTCTTTTAGACTGCCCTCTTTTAGACTAGCTCCAGGCTTACTTGCTGCCAGGCAAACCTTCTCGGTATTAATATTTTCCGTCCTGCGTCTATTCTTGACCGCACCTTCTTCCACTCTCACAATGATAGCTTAGGCATCCCGTACTGCACGCCTTTGCTTTGTCTTTTTACATCCAGAAAATCCGCGCTCCTACATGAACCTTCTGTCGTAGCGATAGCATAGGCATGACCCTGGCCCATGGCGCGCAGTTGCGTCGCCCTACTCTGCCGCTGGATGATGAGCTATTCGCGGATCGAGAGTAGCCGGCACGCTTCTCGCAAGTGGCCTACTCTCGGAAACGTCCCTATAAGCGGTTCGATAATACTCCCGCGAGCAGGCAGTCGCCGCTGTCGTGACAGACCTTGAAGTCTGCGGCTATAGGAACCTATTTCGCAAGCAGAATCGATGTGGACAGTAACGCAACCCGCTTTGGGAGTAAGAATGGTCGACCGCTGAGATCCGCAGTTTTGGACAGCAACATTCATTCCCTTGTTCTATAGTGATGCTCGAAGCATGGGGTTTCAAGAGGGAACCGGTTAGAGAGAAGAATTGGCTTGAATGTTCAGTGGCTGGTAGAGAGAATGACTTGGAGATCTCGTGACATCTGAGGGACACGGAAGAGTTTGCACAATGATGCGAGTCTCGAGCTCGCGGCCACGAGTGTTTTTTAGGATTTGACTGCATGCTCGACTTTAAGGTAGCCCGGACACCGCCGTAATTGCGCGCGCGCGCGCGCGAGAGAGGGAGAGAGACGAGTAGCATTAGGCCAACCACAGCACAAGACTCTGCACTATGAACGTAGTGAGGGGCGACACGGGCACGTCTGACATGGCGACAGAGTCTCGAAACAGAGTCTCGATGCGGTGGTGGACACAATGCTGCGGGCACAAGGGATACTTACCTGCGGCTGCGAATGATCTGCTTGATGCAAGTCTTTTCCGCAGCTCTGTCACGCTGACCTCGCTAACACTCCTCAGCACATGACCCTTTTTGCAACAGATGCCACCCCGAGTCGAACGAGTTCCTGCAGCTGAATCAGAGGTATGAGGAATGCGCGAGGTTCGCGGAGATGCGGTCGTGAGGCAGACATCTCTTGCCAGACAGAGTCGAAAGACCATCTCAGCCAGCATCTTTTTCGGGCAACCGTCAGGCCGGTCTCGAACGAGATCGCCTAGACAAAGTAGAGGTCTCCCGTATTTCCTCCGCGTACGGCGCAATTGACTGCTGACAGAGATGATGTAGCGACTCCGAATTGCGAGATGTTGCGTTGTCGCGGCAGCTTTGCGCGCACTTCCGGAGAGGTCCGCGACGATCAAAGTGTGATGCAAAGTCGAGATTTTAGGGTGACAGCAAGCCTTTGAATATTCGGAAGTAGTTTGTTGGCCGTGGAATCGAAGGAAGCTGCAGGTGGAACATCTGGCCCTCCAAAGTTCAGCTATTCAGCTGAGCGTTTGATGGGCCTACACTTTTCGTTAGCGCCCCCGGGCTTTCTGGCAGCCCGGACACCAGCAGTGAAGACGTAGCACATATGAGAAGCTGCCTCGATCGGCTCTGCGCCTACAGCATATTGCCAGCCCCGCCTGGATGAAATAAACGTGAAAAGGTTGGCGACAAGGCAAGCCAAGTCGTAGCCACCATGCCGCAAGGACATGACTTTCCCGCCCCGCCTGCCCGCCCGAGGGAGAACAGGAGCGACATCCACAAGAGATCCGCAGAAAACAGAGCCAGATTGGGCGACGAGATGGTGTGTAGGTTGATCGCGATGTTGCAGCAGGGATTGCGTACCTTTAGAGCTGCCGCGCTTGTGGGTGTGTCGCGAAGGTCGAGGCGCGACATTTTTCAAGAAGTTGTTGGTGAGGATGGTCGGATGCTGCTAGGCTTGAGCATTTATAACGGCGCCAGAACTTCTGCCTGGTGCTAGTGACGCGCATTAGTTCACTTGAGCGGGACCCGGCGTCGCTGACCCACTTCTCCAGTTGCACACGCGGGAAGGCGGCCCTTCTTGACCCGCCAAGACTCGATATGGTTTTACAGCAACCCATAAGAGCTTCAGCGCATACCTGCGAACAGACACTTCGATCTATTGCCACAGCGCCAGAGATTCATCGCGGCCACCACTCGACCTTGGTGAGACGCGCAGTCAGCTTGACATGTCTCCTCCTCGCGGCACCGCTGGGAAGAGCCCAGCTTCCAGTGACCATGATCGGAGTGCAATGGCGCATCTACAGGTAGTCGAGCAGAACCTGGTCTCTTCGGCGACTCGACCGTTGGCAGCACTCTTCCACAGGACGGTACCTGGCAAGCGCCACTCTGTCCTCCTAGATCCGATGCAGTTCCACAACGCGCTCTTCAAGGGGCTGGAAAGCGATCCCCCTTTGACTCAACAAGTGGTGATGACTTTGGCGACATCCAACGATGCGGCACCAATGATCTCAGCTATGATGTCTCGTTTCGCCGCCGACACAACGCTAATGGCAGCCCTGAAGGACGCTTGCAGCACTTGGCCAAGTTTGGGGTCCTCGCTCATTTCTTTGGCGAATCGCGCTGTGGCTGTCCTCAACGCAGGAGCTTGGATCAAGGGAGAGAATGAAGCAATCAACGCTCTTGCAGGATGGGTACTACACCTTTACAGAAAGAATCGACATGGCTTCTTCAGAAAGATGAGGATGTCAACTGAAGACAGTCTGCAATTGTGCGCACGGCTCCTGTTATGCATCTTCGAGGACCTGGCCTATGACGGGAACTGTTTCAAGACGATTCTCTCAGGCGATCTCGCTGTCCCTACCCAGCTCGAAATGCGCAAGAAGCTCGAGGCGCAGTACATCTTCGTCAAGACCTTGGCAGAAGCATATCAAAAACAACTGGCCGCCCAAAAGGAGTCATACGAAAAGGAGATCTCTACGTGCACAACTAGTCCCGCCACCCCGTCGTCCAGGGCTCAACACGTCACCAATGTTGGAGACCTGACCAAGCAGCTCGCGGCATCTCAAACCAAGCTCAATGCTACAGAACTAGAGCTCCAGAACACAAAGAACCAGCTTGAGTCTACTGAGCACAACATGGGAAAAGTCAAGTGAGAAGTCACCAAGCTCACTAATGGCATCAAAGCCAGAGGAGCCAGTATTACAGCACATCAGAAGACGATCAGCGAGCTCAAAGGTCGTGTCGCGAGCCTTCAGACCGAGAGAGACAACGCAGTGGAAGCGGCTCGTGTAGTACATCTAAATAAGAACAGTCAAGCTGCTCAGGACAGTGCAGCGTGCAAAGCAATAATCAAGAGCGTTGAATTGGAGCTCAAGATTCCGCTCCCTGCTGACGGTCGTCCGCTTCCAGGACGGCGGAAATAGCACCTTAGAGGTCATCAAGGCCCCAACCATCGACAGGAATCTTGGGCAGGTGGATGTAGCGTGGAAGGGATCACTTGTAAGTAAGCATGCTGGGTTATGGCAGGACGTTCTGTACCGGATTGGTGTTTGCCGGCATTTAGCGTTCGCGAGCATCTCAGAGGCTTTCCAAGAGCTGGCAGGCACTGAGCACATGAAGTGAAGAAATGGCAGAAGTAAGTTGGCCCTTAAGAAATGAGTGCTGCGTTGTAAAGGCATGTGGGAACATACTATCTTACTTGAAGAAGTGCCAACTCGTGCGCGTGTTAGCAACGGTGAAACGAGAAAGCTCACTCCTTCAGCGAATCGTGATCTTCTCTCCTGCAACGCCGCGACGGTGCATATTGATGGCAAGACACCACTCTATGTCCCATTGTTGTAACTTCCGAGATAGTATGGCGCGCATGAAGGCTGTGAGAGTGTAGCAATGAAGTCGTCGATCAATGCCGCAGCTTGTTCGAGTCCGTTAAGTCTAGAAGAGTCTCAAGAAGAAGCAGCAAGCTACCAGAAGTATTGTCGGAAACGCTGAATTGCAAGCTGTAGATGTTGTTGAAGCCTTTAAAAGCGCCGTAGACCTGATCTGAGCACGCACTTGTATGTTCCACACACTGACCTCCAAACATATACAGCTCTTTCTCTGGCCCAAGTGGCATCGCTGCCTGCCAACAAGCTCTTCACCAGTTCTGCAGAGGTGTCACGACGTCGATGGCGAAGAAGCTGGCTGGCTGTTGCTGGCGGCGTGCTTGCTTGGATGTAATGTGTTGTATGTCTTGTCTTGGACAGATGAGAAGTTGTTACGTTCTTGGTCGAACCTCATCTCATCCTCATCGTCGTGGCATCGAACGGGATCATGCCACGACATTGCGCTCATCGTACATGAGGCCGATGACGCAGACTGCCCAATCAGACCCCTTCACCTGCTGGCTCGCATTTCAACGTCATCTGGCATGCGCAGCCATCACACCAGGTTTCGGTACATAGAATTAACGATGAGATGATCCGTCGCAAGTTCTGTAACAATAACTTGGACATTGGGAGAACAGCTCACCTGCACAGTCATGTCCCAAGCATCCCGCCGTGAACAGGCGAATGGCCGGCCTCCGCCAGCCCAAGGATACTATAACGCGTACTCCGAAGCATCAGGCTACGATGATCGCTTCCAGCAAGGCCCGCAGCCACCCAGAGAAGCGGGCTACGTTCCGTATCAAGACAGCTACGCGTCCTTTGATCGCATGCCAGCCAATAGCCAGAACCCACGAGACCAGTATGGCTACACTTCTCCGCCTCCCAGAGATGGCTACGGCGATTCAGACAGGGGCTATTCCGAGAGAGCTTTCTCAGACAGACCGTACGCGCCCTCCGAGCCTCGACCTCACGCTGGGAATCAGCTCAGCCCTTACGACGAGGCGAAGGCTGATGCCGGATGGCGCGAGTACGACGAACAACAGAGAGCTTACACTTATGACAACAGACCACCTCCTTCAGACTATGGGCGCAGACCGCCCTATGACGACAGATACCACGACGATAGAGACAGCCGATATGACGACAGAGACTACGACAGAGACTATGACAGAAGAAGGCGCAGGCACAGCAGGAGATATTCGGACGATGACTTGAGGCAGAAATTTCTTCGTTATCCTTCTGACCCAAAGAAGGGCGGTAGGGATATGTTCGGAGCCAGTGACGGAGAGCGAGGCATGGGCGCTCAATTGCTGGGAGGCGCTGCTGGAGCCCTGCTTGGACACAAGTTTGCAGACGGAGCATTGGGCACGGTCGGTGGTGCCGTGCTCGGCGCGATTGCATCTGGTGCAGCGGAGAGGCACTATGAGAAGCGCAAAGGAGAGAAGGTGTACAAGCGCAGAAGCTTGGACGACGCATATGGTCCTGTCCAGTACCCTCCTCCTGGTCACGATATGGACGATGTCCGGGCAACTGGTCGCGATGGCAGGACTGGCATTCGAGAAAGATTACGGTCGATGAGTAGAGGTGCTACTGCAAGGTTCAGGAGCAGAAGCCGTCCGAGACGGAGCCCGAGCCTCGAGAGCGACGAGCGATACCACTATCGATGAGGTAATGCCAGGTGTTGGCGAAAGGAATCTGGAAGGGACATCACGGAGACGAGAATCACGAACCACGCCAAATAACAAGCTTGAATGATGAATTAGCGCAAGCAAATCATGATGTAACGATCCGTACTTCACTATCCAATTTGCAAAGATGTCAGGAGAAGCATTTCCAGCTGGCTTTCACGCCGATATTTGCTGGCAAGCCCTATCTGTAGGATTCAATCGAACGGAAAGCAACATAGGTGCGGGCTTTGCTCTATTCACCATGGAGCCTGAAAACCAAAAGGCTCGCACCACGGCTTAAAGGAGGTGGACGTCTTGCAAGGTCGCGCCACGACCGAGTGAACTACTATTGGAGTGCGCGTGTACTGAACCATCCAACCTCATGCTAACATGGATGCTCCGCGACCTCGAGAACTACTGTTGGAGTGCGCGTGTACTGAACTATCCAATCTCATGCTAACACGGATGCTCCGTGACCTCGAGAACGTGATTAATCTTGATTCATTCGTTTATGGCTCCCCGTTGAGCAAGACACAAGATTGACCGAGTGAGGTGAGGTTTGTAACGGCGCTGCAGAAACTTGAGGCAACAGCCGAGCCGGCACGCGCTCCGCCTCAAGATCAGCTTCTGGCTCACGACTTCTAGACCGCGCCATTCAACTTCACCCGCCTTCGACGAGACACATCGCACGATGGCGCGCAAGAGAACAGAACGGAGAGAGCTGCGCGCTTATCTGCGCATGGTGCCTTCGCGGAACGGTAAGTGTTCGACCCTGCCCCGGGTTTGCCTTCGCTAACCATTCTTCTCATCGACTCGAGGCCGCGCAAACAAAAAACATGACCTGGAAGTGTACGAGCAGAAGAAACAGCGCCGTCGCGCTCGTCTGACGCGCCTCGATGACTGGGACGAGCCGATCAAGCCGGCAGAGCAGACGACAATAAAACCCCCCAGAGTAAGTACATACACCCCGGCTTATTTCCCCGAAAGTGGCAAAAGCAGGGCGGACAAGAGGAGATACTGCGGGCGTTTGCTTCGCAATTTGGAACGATATGAACAGGAGCCGCAAGTCTGGCTGGCTTCATGGCGAAAGCCGTTGCCGCCATTTCTGAAACTCCCCGCCGAGCTGAGGCAGAAGGTTTTGGAAATGGTCCTTGACGATGATTCGGTGCTCTACCCCCGTCCAAATCAAACAACCGTCAATATGGCCCTCACATGCAAGATCATCGCCGAGGACATGAGACCAGTCATGAAGCTGTGGAATATGCGTGAGATGCAGGTGCGCGGCGGCTTTCCCTTCGACAGGTCGGTGGTGGACGACTTACTCCGGCCTCTTAAAGTTGCTTCCGCCGTCTTTACATCACAACAAAGACAATCACGCGGCCGTCACATCGTTTTCGCAGACGCAGCAGGTGCAAGCAAGGAAGAGCACGGTCGGGAGGTCGGCCCACCAAGCGCACAGCAGTCGAAGCAAGGAGGCAAAGATGCGCGTCCATCAGAGAGCTCGTGCAAGCGCGAGATGCATAGCATGAAGAGAACTACTGATGGTGGCACCCTGGAGCCGGAGAGGCAACTCGAGAATGAAGCGGCTTCCACGGCTTCCGAGGCGCAGCGGCAACGTCAAGACGAGAAGATCCGAAAGAGACGCAAGCAGAAGGCACGCAAGCGCAAAGAGCGGCTCGCCAATCGTGGACAGGAATTGCTGGAACTGAAAGACCGTGACCGCAAACAATATCGAAACTGGGCTCGGAAGAACGTTATGGAGGCAGCAATTGTGAAAGAGCGCAACATCCTAAGAGCCGCTTATGGTCTCGGCACGACTACCTATCTATCTGATGCAGAGGATTGAAGACGAGGTAGCAGAAAGGGGTAATTTGAAGAAAGGCACGGACTTGCGAAAATGAGACGTTATCGACGCTGGTAGATCAGACTGTGGCTCTACTATGACTGTCAACCACGTCTCTCTACGGGTGGATTCTTGGGATTCTGTAAGATATTTGGACGCGTTACAGCGATGCCACTGGTCCGGAGAACTTGGCGATAGATGCAGCAACAATTCCCTCGGCATGCTCTTCGGCATCGTGCATATGGATCCAATCTTCGCGCGGAAGGCCAATGCTATCAGGATCTTTCTTGACCGTATCCCAGTCCGCTTTGTGCCACATGTCCCGCGTAGTCTCCCCAGTCTTTTGCACAGCTTTCACGCGCTCGTATCGGATGTCCTGGAACGCCTTGAGCGCAGCCTGCACGTTCTCCCTGCCGGCTTCCCTCAGACAAATGGCTATCGTAACGCCATCCTCCATCGCCTGAGTTGCACCCTGTGCCGAGGTCGGTAGGAACGGATGCGCAGAATCGCCAAGCAATGAAGTTCTGCCCTCGTCACTTATCCATCGCGGAAGTGGATCCCGATAGACAATCTTCCAATCCACAATCCGATCCTCAGGCGTCTTGCTTACTATCCGTTTGCAAAGTGGATCCCAGCCTTGGAAAACTTTATACACGTCCTCGAGTTTGCCTGGAAATGACCACGACTCCTCAATGTCAGCCTCATCTACATGCGTAAGAACCCAGCAGCAATCGCTTCCATTCTTGATGGTGGAAAAGAGAAAGTGGACGTCTGGCCCAATCCAACCATTAAACGTGTCGCCGTTCTCACAGAAACGCCGAGTCTCAGGATCCGCAATCATCCTTTCGTTAGTGAACCAGGCGCGGAAGACAGCGTAGCCAGATGATTTGGGCTTGTCATAGTAGCCTAGGACCAGCTCTCGTGCTGTCGATCGAACGCCATCAGAACCAATCACCACATCGGCGCTAATTCGCTCGCCTGTGTCGAGCTCGATACCAGCAGCTCGGGAGTCCTCGAAGTACTTGGAGATCCGACAGCCCAGATGTATTGGTATCTCCAGGTCATCTTTGACGTAGTTGAACACTATTTCGTGAAACTCCCCGCGATGGCCATTGAAAACCGGCGCCTCGGGATCTGGTGGCGGACCCTTCTGATTCATAATCAGCTCGCCATCAAACTTGTGGATGTTGAAGCCGTAATTCTGGAGATCAATCGACAGTGGTCTTAGAATATCTGGTATCCTTCTGCCGTCTCTAGTGAACCATCTTCGGAAAATCCTGCCTGCATTGGCACCAAAACTGATGATGTCGCCCAAAACTTTGAGCTCGGGGAATGCTTCGAAGATTTCGACATCATGGCCTTGCTTGAAACATTCCACTGCCGCACAGAGACCTCCAAATCCGGCGCCGACGATGATCACTTTTATGCCTGTTCTTGCGCGGGTCCGCATCGGGTGTGGCAATGAACCATTTGCTGCCATATCATCTTGAGGGCTCGCTGTGCTAGTTTCCTGCGATACGGAACCCATAATGTCAGTGTGGCCAGTGCAGCAGCTAAGTCTCACAGAGTCTAGTTCTTCGTTAACACATCCTCATGGCATGCTTCTGTATTTGAAACGATCGTTGGGTGGGCCGCTATGAGAATCCCGGTGCTTTCTTCCAACGCATCTGCCGAGAACGGACTCCTTCATCTACCTCCGTTCAGGCCTTTGTGCATTAAGGATTACGTTGCGCGGTGGTGAATTGGTCAGATTGCACGTGATAGATTTAAATTAGGGCTAGCTTCCGTCTTTCCGAACAACCAATCACACACCACTCCACCTAATCCTTTGCCCAAAGATGAGATCTCGAATGGCGCTAAACCTAATGTGGTATAGTGTAGAAATGGAAGTCACGAGCAGCACACACACGAATTCAACCACGAAGCGCCTGAATGGAGGTAGTCCTTCATCTGGCTTCGAGCAGTACGGACAACAGTGACTGCCAAGCACGACTTCATCTTTTAGCCGGAAGTGTTACAGAGGTACAATGATAAGCATAGGCATCGCTTGCATGTCATGTGCATGCGAGCATTTGATGCTGGGGGAACACGGCTTATTCTACCCTACCTCCTTCTCAGGCTCTTCTTATAGACTTTATCCTACCTTCTACCTTCCACCTTCTACCTTCTACCTTCTACCTTCTACCTTCTACCTTCTACCTTCTACCTTCCTTTACCTAACCTACGTGCAATTAGCGTCGATCGGTTCTCGGCTCTTCTGTATATAGTCTAGTATATAGGAGAAGTCTTCGTAGAAGAGCCTAAGGACAAATGTCGCAAAGCTGCAGTATTGACCTTATATATCTGCAAAACAGGTAGAATAGCATAACAACCATACATTTTAAGTAAAAGTTATATTAGAATTAATTATAGGTATTAAGTAGACGAAAATTAATATCTATATAATAATCTATATATTTCTAAAGATATAGGAATGAAAATTACAAAACACTACTTTAAGACAAACGCTATGCGAATAGCGTCCGGATTACCTCTACTACGATACAACTACTACCGTTTACTATAGGCGGAAACATACGTAGACCCTTAGAATTACCCGCTCTCTAACCTCTAAGTGTTTGCTATCCGTAATAGTATCGCGTTATTACGTACTAATGCCGATTAGGTAAACTAGGCTAAAACGCGGCTGTTTAAGGTCTACGCGCTTTACTAAACGCGTATAACTTCGCGTATGTTTATCTAATATATCTGTTACTACTATATATCTACCGTCTTATATTACTAAAGCTGCCCGACTTTAGTATAGCGCAATAACCGAATACCTCCGCCCTAGTAACCGCCTGCTTTAGAGGGATTCAATCGCTTATCGAATTTAAGACTCGAGTCCGTATTCGAATTTCGCATTTCGCATTTCGCCGCTATCGTTATCGCTATCGCTATATATTATAGCTACCGAAGAAGCCGCTCGTTAAGGTCTACCGCGCTAGGATATAGGACTATTAATAGACTTAAAGTAGAAGGAAGTTAGTGCTAAAGGCGCTAAATATAAAGACATTATTATCGGTAGTAGATAATAGATCTAGTAATAAGGACGCCGGACAAGCTATAGAATATAGCTATGCTTATACTTATACTAATCTTCCGCCTCTACGTATAGCGCCTCCGGATCCGATCTATTACGCTAGCGGTAGCTTTCTCTAGTTAGCTAGGAACCCTAACCTTACTAAGAACTAACGTAGGCAACGGCGCTAGCAGTAGTAAAACTAGGGCTAGAGTTAGGGCTAGTCGAGTGCGAATCTAGTAGGCCGTCTAGCAAAGACATACGACCGGCGCCGCTAGTAGCAATAGTAATAGCAAGGTACGTAGAACACTTAGCTACAAGCTATACTAATCCTTCTATCTCGCAAGGCTTATACCCGCTAGCAGCTAAACTAGTCTACTAAGAAGCTAGAGCTTCCTTAAGATCTATAATAGAAGACCGCCTTCTTCTAGGCTACGACTAATTATATACTCGATAAGCTATTTAATCTAGAGGAAATCTAGATATTAATATAGGATGCCGGTTTTAAGCGAGAGGCTATCCCCTTCTAGCGGGACATTATTAAGAATAGCCTACAGTAGGTACTAAATACATTCTATCTAGACAAGGGCTATATGCCTTCGGACCTTTAGCGCGAGGTACTATATAACCTAGTTTTCGTAGGCACCGATATAGTAATAATCGAGAAGACCGGTAGCGGCAAGAGCTTAGTCTACTAGGTATATACTATACTAACTAGTCGCATTAATATCTAGATTATCCCTCTAAACCGCCTTAGTAAAGAGCAGAAGGCTAATATCGACTAAACGATACGTGCGCTTACTTAGAAGTCTATAGTTACTACCGGAAACGTCGAGTTAGTACGTTACTATATAATCTCTACTAAGACTAAGCGTAAGGATCTAAAGATGTACGATAATATCGTTACTAGCAAGTACTACTATATCTTCTATAGTCTAGAGTAGGCGTTTACTCCGGAATTGCGAGAGGTATTTAAGAAGATTAGCGATCGCATTAGCCTTATTACTATCGATAAGCTATACTTAGTATATAAATAGAAGGACTTCCGCGAGGAATTTGCCTAAATATATACCCTCCGCAGCCTATTCCGTAATAACACCCTATAGCTAGGTGCCTCTACGACTATCTCCTAAGAGACACTCGAATTTGTCTTAAAGTATAGAGGCTTCCGTAACAATAGCCGCGAGGCATTTAAGACTAAGGTTATCCGTACGAGCATCGATCGGATCGACACTATATATATCTTTAAGACTATCCCGTAGAAGCATAGTAGCGACTTCGACTTGTTATATCTGTTACTAAAGAAAGCAGTCGACTAGGATAGATAGGCTATATCCGCAAATATCGATAAGGCGATCGTCTTTATTAATAGTCGGGGCAAGGTTAATAAGCTAACCTTTATACTACGTTAGTAGCTTATCTAGCTAACAAAGGGCTAAGAAGATCTAACTAAGAAGTATACCTAGAATAATACTAGCTATAATGTATATAAAGTCGTCGCTTTCTATACTACTTATATTACTAATTACGACAAGGATCTCCGATATAACGAGTTTAAGAAGCCTAGCGCTCGTTTATTAACTCGCATTATAGTTAGTACCCTAGCGATCGCTATAGGCACTAATATTAGCGATATTAAATTCGTTATTATATAGTAGCTACCTATTACGAAGGATATTAACGATGCTATATAGCGAGCTAGTCGTACTAGTCGTAAGCTTAGCGTAGGATAGCGGTTATATACTATCTTCTTCTTCCCTTAGTATATCGACGATATAGCTAAGTATGTTCTAGATAGTATTAACTATATCTCTATTATTAATCGAGAAGGTCGACCGGCTAACGCGGACTAATATAAGAATCTCGTATAGGGTGCTATTATATACTAGCCGATCCGACTAAGCGGTCTACGTAATACCGAGATCCCTAGCGAAGATATTAATAGAGACCTAGATTAGAATAAGGATAACGAGGATACTATTATCGTTCCGAGAGGCACAGGCATAGGCACAGGCACAGGTATAGGCACAGGCATAGGCATAGGCACAGGCATAGCTGCACTAGAAACCTAGGAAGCAGGTAATACTAATACTAATGCTAATGCCTCTGCGCCTAGGCGTAAGAATTAGTCTAAGAATAATATAGAAAAGCGCAATAAGATCTCCGACATCTTCCGCTTATTATTTAATAGCTAGTATATAGCGACGCCTCGATACCTACGTACTATCCTTAATAAGCGATACTAGGAAGAGCTCCGATTGTAGGATCCTAAGGAGACCCTAGATCGTAAGGATTGCTATAACATTGTCTATAATCGCGATCTAGATTCGGTATTCTAGTAGGATAAACAGGCACTACGCCTACCGAAAGCCCTAGTTGCACCGTATAAGGGCTCTAAGCAGTACTTCTTACTACTATACCTATAGAAGTTCTTCGACCGGAAGGCTAATAAAGCTAGCGGCCGGTTTAATACGTACTTCTTTACTTTTCTATCGAATACTCTTATCGAGGACTAATATATATAGAACCTCTATAATGTAATGCAGCACCCGGCGCTTAGCGACGTAGAAGAGGAATCGACTAGTATAGATAGAGAAGAAATGCTAGAGAGTACGCTAGACTTCGATACCTAGTATTAGGCTAGCGGCGATAACCTTCGTCGTAAGCTAAAGCTCGGTAACGTCCTTCGGTATATTAACTATAGCTTTCGCTAGGCCTTTAAGGACTAGTAGGAGTACTACGAGGAGCGGAAGCGTAAGTAGGCCGAGCGAAAGAAGGCTTCGGAGGATATAATAGAAGTAGATAACGGTAATTCCGGCGACCTACTAACTAATTAGCCTCCGCCTATAGCGCGAGATCGTCTTCGCTAGCTATAATAGGATTCTAATAAGTCTCGCGACGCTAATATATCGCTAGTAAAGAAGGCTATCGTAGGCAATCGGAAGGCTAAGACTTAGAAGAAGCAGTTATAGTCTTAGTCTTAACTAAAGGCGAAAGGTAAGTATATAGGAGATCTAATCTAGGATAATAGTGCTACGGCCTTATCTACTCGTATACTAATATAGCGGATACTACGCCGCCGGCGCTAACGAGAGGACGAGGATAGTAATTATAGCACTCTAATCTCGGTCGCTAAGTCTGCTCTTCGTAAGGCTATAAGCAGCAATCGCCCGCGTCGTATACTATCGCTAACTCTAAAAGTACGAGAGAACCTTGCTCTTGTTAGCGCAGACATCCTACCGGAGAATCTACTCGAGGAGAGCCTAACTTGTCGTAAGAAGAGATAGATACCTAAGCTAGAATTGGCACTAGAATAGTACTAGAATAGCGCTAGAATAGCGCTAGAATTAGCGCTAGAATTGGCGCTAGAATTGGCGCTAGAATTAGCGCTAGAATTGGCGCTAGAATAGTACTAGAAT